ATTGAATGCATCTAAAGACCATTGAGTGAGAAAGGATGGCTGGAAAAATTGGGATGAGAATAACCAGTGCCTAACTCTTTCAAATTGAGCATAACCCTCAGGATCAAACAAGTGAGTGAGGAACAGTTCTTGTTCAACTTCCCTAACATTTGATTCTGATTTGTGTGAACTGTACTATCACATGGTTAGTTTGACTCCATTTCTGGATTGATGTACAGCTGAAATCCTTCCAGAGAATTAAGGGAAGACTTAGTGACACCATTAAGGTACAATTAAATATATCCATCTGTGGATGCCAGTATTTTTGATGGTTTACTGGTATGCCAGTCTGTTTACTTTATCCAGGAAACTTAATGCGGCTTCCTGAAAATTAACTTTTCTCCAAGATCATCTAAATATTTTTTTAATCACTTTTATGGCAGCCCTCCACAAAATTGACCTTGGCCTGCATAGAACTTGTACTGTTTTTGATCTGGCCTATCCTAAAGTTAGGTGCACTGTGTTTTCAACCATCAGGGTAAATATTTCAGACAGTAAGATATCAGATTAATTTTGATTCAGTAAACAGACTAAGAACAATTGCTTTATTGTCCACTGTAGTTAATGATAAAATGTAGCTAATGCGGTTATAAGTAGACTTCTAGATAGCCTGTTAATAGTGAGTGGGTGGCTTTGAAGTATTTTGGCTGTAATAACAAAATTGGCTTTTGTTTATGGAACCTTGAAGGTTTTGTATTAAATATCAGCTTGATCAAAGTAACATTGGCACTGCATTTATTTAAACTTTGTACCCATGTATTCTATCAAACAATGCATAAACGTTTTGCCAAATAGATATGCTAGGAGCAAAGCAAATTTGTTTGAAATAGAACACTCTATTTTAAACACTATATGCACTATTTTCTCTCCCATTAGCACAGTTACCATATTTTGAATATTTTATGCCTTGTCTGTTAACTTCTTGGAATACATTCCCTGCCTATTTACCTCTTTTTCTTTCCAAACAAATATATGACTGCATAGCTTTGTCTTAAAATAAATTATGTAAGTTTAATCAGCTATCCTTAATCTTTGTATTGTTTAAAACTTTCATACAAAGCTTCTAATCCAGACCGATCATTCCCTATTAGTGTGCATTTTAGAGATGCATACATGAACTGGTCAAAGATCAACAAGTTGATTTCTTGAATTAAGTTGGGCAATTGTTTTATTATCAAAAGCATGAAAATGACAGATCAAAAACAGGATTTATTCCATCACTGTAAATTGCAGTTCTCTGATCTGATTTTTTAAAAAAATGATCTTGTATGTTTACTTCAAAAGGACTAGAAACATTCATACTATGGATTCTGATTTATCTAGGTCATGATCTGGTATCTGAAGTCTGGAAGGAAAAAAACAAGGACAATGTTTTATTCTCAATCCCTTTATCTTTCTCCCTCCCCCCCAACATGAAAATAAAAAGTATTAGAAAATGTTCCCTATGGTTTATTTTTTTAAATTATATACAAGATTGATAAGATATAAAAGAGATTAATTTGAGTTTAGAAATGTTCATACCAAATCAAGAAATGAACAAACATGTAAAAGCTATTATAAATGCAGGCAAAATATTTCAGGAGTTTGTATGAAAGAAGAATCAGCATTAAAAGGAATTGCTGACTGTGACAGTTTAGATCCAGAAAATGACGTTAATCAACATTACATTAGGCAAAATGCATATTCTGAAAATTCCTTGCTCTATCTCTTTTTATCAGCTTTTGTTTGAAAATGAACATTTTCTGTTTGTTAGATACAGGGAAGGACAAATGTGGATCTTTTTGTTGTATTCTTGGGTCAATAGGTTATTAGGTTTTTCAGGATTAACATTTTATCTCCGTGCTTTTTTTTTAACCAAGAAAAAAATGAAGAAATATTGCATTCCTTAGAATTCAGCCACTTGTTGCTCCTTTTCAAGCAAGAATAAAAAGTGAATTCAGTATATTCTACATAACTCCATTCCTCCTCCCTCCATTTATTCCATTAGTTCAAGTTTTCTGTATTATTTTATCTCTTTCCTTGATTATGCATAGAGTTTTCTATATATTCAAGAGAATAGCTGGAAAACCCTGATAGTTTGCCTAGGTTTGGGTGAAGATCTCAAAGTATAGATGGAGATACAATGATATTGGCATTACAATTCCATCATTATTCCACCGGCATCAGTTTCTTGTTCCAATTGAACACCTGGATAAAGCTTACTGCTAAACAAGATAAAATTATTAAAAAAAACCCAAGCTGTAATTACAAATAAATAAAAAAACCTTGTGATTCTCTATTCGTAAAAACGCCAACAAGCTCTAAGTGCAGAAAATCATATGCCTATATATTCCTTATTCCATGACAAGCATGACAAGCAAATTGGTATGCTATACATTTTGAATAAAATCTTATACCATTTTTTCCTTTTGCCAATTTAAATGTTTTTTTAGATAATGTGTTTCCCCTGCCTCCTTCTCCCCTCCTCCCCCTCCCATCCCTTCTCCTCTCCTTACCATATTTAATTCTGGCAAAGATATCTTAGATGCTTATAGTAGTTTAACATGCTTAAAGTAAAGGTAGTAAAAGTAAAGTAAACCTTAAAGTAAAGTGCTCAAAGTAAAAACAACCTTTTGTTTGATTTGGGAGGGTCTTTCTATGAGCTTTATCAGCAGAATGGATAGTTTGTTCTCTTAAATCTAGAAATAGCTGATGGGTCTCTAAGAAGCTTTGGGACGCCTTTTAGGAAAAAGTGATGCAGAGTCCTGTTTCAAAAGCACATTAGATGCTTTTGAATTTGTCTTTTCAGTGGCATTAAAAATCTATGTGACAGGACTTCTTAAGCTGTCAGAAATCCTAAATAGAGTATTATGTCAACAATCTACCTATTGCAGAAGATATGCTTGGACCTGGCAATTTTTTTTACTACCGGTTCTGTGGGCGTGGCTTGGTGGGCATGGCAGGGGAAGGATATTGCAAAATCCCCATTCCCTCCCCACTCTGGGGTTCTCTGAACTACTCAAAATTTCCAATACCGGTTCTCCAGAACTTGTAGAACCTGCTGAATTTCACCCCTGGTCCTGTGGGAATCTTTATTCATATTGGGGGCATTGTTCTGAATAGCAAGTAATCTATTTAAACTGGATTTTATGTATATAGTGAACAGTTCAAAGCATTGAACTTGCATTATGTTTAGAGATATCCTAAAGCAGCATATGAGCATTGAATTGTCTTTATGTAAAAGTTTAGGTGAGGAAAAGTAAGAGGGAGATGTTTAATGTATTAAAGGCACACTCCCTAGTATAGTGGATGGTAGACATGATACATTTCAACATCAATCAGGAAATTGCAGGAGTTGAAGCCATTATATCTGCAGGCCATTGAATTGTAGAAGGCTACTTTAAAGTGGTTTTTTTAGCTTTCCAAGTAATTTTGGATACTTTTAATTTTTTTAAAAAAACTGTAAACTTCTGAAAACTGCTTTTCTGCAATTTTCTGCAGAAACTCGTTCCTGCTTCTTTAAAGGAGTCATGCTTTTAAGGCTTGTAGCTTTCTTGTGTTTGAAACATTTCACAACCACCATTTCCAGAATCATATTCATAATTTCGTCAAGTTGTAAAGGACCTCACCTTGAAATAATGGTTATGCTATTATTTATTAAATATTGAAGGGGCATTAATTGTCGTGCACTTTCATTGTCTAAAGCTACTTAATTTGCCACTTTATTGAGGCTTGATGAAAGCAACCATATGTGTTTATCTGGAGATAAATCAATGGAGCTCAACTTGTCAATAAACATATATGTTGGAATGAAACATTAGCTAGAAAATTCTAGATCAAAACTTTCTGCCTTTGACATGAGATGCAATGAAACGTAGTAGTCTTGATTCACAAGGTGGAGTGCATCCCAGAGGAATAAGAGGCTTTTCCATTCAGATACTTTATATGAGAGAAAGAGAATGAAGACAGCCTAGTGGTTCTCAGAATATATGTATAGTTAGTATAATGTTTCTGTTTGGCAAGATTCTGTCTATAGGAACAATAAAGAAATCTACTTGAAAGAATCACTACCCTGTTTCCCCTAAAATAAGACCTCCCCAGATAACAAGTCTAATCGGGCTTTTGAGCGCATGCTCAAAAGGCCACCCTGAAAATAAGCCTTCCCCAAAAATAAGCCCTCCTCAAAAATATTAAATAGCATGCGCAGCTGGTCCCTGCCATTTCCTCTGGTTAGGGTTAAGGAGACAGAGCTGGAAATCAGGTAAGACGGCAAGAAGAGCCCCGTCTTGCTCCACGTGCCCCAAAATAATAAGACCCAAAAATAATTCCAAGTGCTTATTTCGGGGTTCAAAAAAATATAAAACAGGGTCTTATTTTCAGGGAAACACGGTACATGTCTTTCTTGATTTGGGGGCCTGAAATAAGCTATAGCAGGGGTGTCAAACTCATGGCCTGCGGGCCAGATGCATCAAGCACTGACCACGCCCACGGTTTAGCAAAGGGGAAAAAAGTCAAGATACATCACTCAGTGATGATGCGAGTTTGACACCCCAGAGCTATAGCATCGAATGGAGAACAAATATTACATTTGGAACAATAGCATAAGGACTAACAAGAGTATACCTGCAGTCAAAATTAAGGTCTACTTGTTATAATATTTTGCTGTATAATACTTCTTCTGTGTTGAAAACAGCATGTTAACCTATCAATACATAATTGTGCTTTAGATTCTCAAGTAAATATTCATAGTTGAGAGACATAAGCCCTTATATTTCTAGTCTCCCCTTCCAGGGTTAAGATGAATTAAAATATACATAGTAGGTCACTTTTCAGAAAATCATTCCATTCCTGAAATAATAAATTGCATTACAAGCACATGTTACTCATATAGAATTATTAGTGCCTTAAAGCAAATGTATTATGAAATGATGCCAATTATTTTTAAGCAATATTAATTAATGTTACTGTTTTCTTTTTTACAGCTGTATGGGGAAATGTGCTCAACATGAGGTAATATACATAATATACACTTCTCTTGTACATCTGTATAGCTATAACATAATTTTTCTTCCAAAGTTAAAGGAAAACTCTTCTCTCAACTTTGTTGCTTATTGCTAGAAAGGAAGTTGGGAAAATGATAGCTAGTGTGATTCATTTCTATGATGGGAAAGGTCACCTTTGATCACAGATTTGTGGATGAACTAAATACATGCATCGCTTTACCCAGGGGCAGGTTTCAAAACCCGACACTACCGGTTTGCTCATGGACACACTCGCGCTTGCGTGTGTGCACAACGTTTCTGCACATGCGCAGAAGTGTCCGGGTGGATGGGCGGAGTTCGCCCAATTCAGCAACCCACCACTGACTTTACCCCTTTAAAAGAGCTGAACGTTTCCATCAAATACAGGATGTGGTAGTTCACATTTGAAGCAGGGAAAATATTCCATCCAGAATTATTCTGCTGGTCACATACCACATTTGCTTAATCTGAGAGATGTTGGTCTTTCAGAAAAAAGAACAGTGAAGAATAAAAATTGAACACAAAAACTTATATTAATTGGTCCCAACAAAATTAGTATTCTTGCTTCTTTTATTCCTCATTCTTTTCCAGTTTTCCAGCTATTAATTCCTCATATTTTTATAAACCTCCTTATGTCTTTCGTTGCCTTAAACCATTACTGTATTCTCCCTTCTTCTGAGAGGTGGCTAGAAAGAAAATGGAAAAGGTATGCTATAATACACATCCCTTTTCCATAATAGTACAGTTGTAACATTTCAAGAAATTTTGAATCCATAGTTAAAGTTGGGAATTTGCTGTTTGCTGTCATGAGACTAGAATATTTTAATCATATTGTAAATGATAATATTGTAAATGATAAGAAAAGCATTAATATATATATATATATATTGTATAAATTACCCTTACTTCCTATTTGTTTATTTTTTGTTCTTTAAAAACATGAAGCAGAATTCTTTATAGCACGAAGCAGAATTCTTTATTGCACTTCTGATTGTAAGGTAGAAACAAGCTATTGTATATATGAGGACATTCATTAGGTACCTGCAAATCCTTAAAACAGCTGATCTTTTTCAGGGTTTTATAGCTGTTCCTACAATGCATTCTGAGGAAAAAAAGCATTTGCTTTGGAATTTAAAGCATGGCACAACTCTGTGGGAGATAATACATGCCCAGTATTAAGCATGAGATAGAAATATATTTTAGGAAATAGCTCCCCTTTATATCCTTCCATATCCTTTCCATCTAACTTGTACAGTATTCCAGCATTATCCTGTTGGTTAGCTCCATTCTAAGATATTTCTTTAGCACTTGTTGTAGCTATCTGTCTTGTACCTTGTTGAGAGGATTTTGCCAGAAATCTTCAAATTACGCCATTTAACTGAGTCAACCCTCACTTGAAATACATTTCAGAACAAATATTTTGTAAGAAAATCTTTTAGGGGTCCCCACACAAAAGAAAAGTAAAAAAAGGCCATTAGAGAGAAAGAATAAATCAATTCATCTTGTTTTCTTCCAGGCCCTAGTGTTTCTCAATGTAAATATTCTGGAATTCTCCTTAAGTATATTTGAGAAAGTAGGTTCAGATGAAAAGCGGTGACAAACTGAAAGGCACTTAGTGAAGGTTGTGACATTGTGTACTGTATATCTGAAGTCTACTTCAGATTTAGTAATCGATTTTTTATGTGGCAGGGTTCATCTCATAAATTGGTGCTATGTCTCAATTACCCTCAAATGGGGGGTGGAATAAAAATTTAAATAAAATAAAAAATAAATAAAAATGGCTCATGTGATTGAACATATCTCCCAAGATTTTCAACATTTTTTTATTTCTATACTTTCCATTTTTAAAAATAGTATTTCTCCCCCTACTTTTGCAATTCAGTGGGCCCCATCCAGGAACTCTGCATTGTTGCTCCATTGCCACCCCTTTTCTGTCCAGTACAGAGAATGGTGATGGTGGTTCATTTCATCAAAATCCGAAGGAAATAGATTTCTTGCTCTAATGTTTCATCTGAAACATTTCTAAACGTTGATCTTAAACGTTGATTGCCTTTTCTGGCCATTAGCTTTTTTTTTTCTTTATTTATTTTCACAAGAGGTCAAAAGACTGTGTTGGCTGCCAGGAACACTACATAATGAATAGCTATGTTTAGTACTGCCTCTGACAATGCTATAAACATTTTTTTTAATGCTCAATGGATAATTTTATGAAAATGCAACTTTTAACTCCCAGTACTGTTCTTATTCTAAAATTATTTGGCAGTCTTGTCTAAATTCTGTAGGACAAGAATTGCGTGTTTGATTTGTAATAGAGTTACTGCAAAAGGGTTTGTCAAAAGGTTGACAAAACCTTTTGCAGGAGAGGTTTTGTGATCATACTGTATATACTGTATTTTTCGGAGTATAAGACGCCCGGACTATAAAACGCACCTACCTTTTTTGGTGAGGAAAACAAGAAAAAGAAATCTGTCTCTGCCTCCCAGCAATTTTGCCTCGTTGCAGCAAACAGCAAATAGCCTGCTTTACTTTCAAAAGTAAAACAGCTGAGAGCAAAACAGCTGAGAGCCGGGAGGCCAATCCAATCAACTTGTGCTAATTAGGCTGTGCTGAAGGTGAAACGAGCTGTTTCTTCTTGCTGCTTGCTGCAAGGAGGTAAACTGCTGGGAGGCAGAGGCCAAAGGGTGGGGGCCAGTAGGTGGGCAGGGCTACATTTGGTGTATAAGACGCCCCTAAATTTTCACCCCCTTTTAGGGAGAAAAAAGGTGCGTCTTATACTCCGAAAAATACGGTTACCTCAAAGGAAAAACAGCTTCATTTGACTTGCAGGACCCCTTTCATAGGTGAAGGATCCTAAACATACCTTTAATTCTATTAGGACAATTAGAAACTAACACCATTTGGAATGTTTAAATGCGATACTCTGAGGTGTTACAATTACCACATATAGCTTTTGAGGTTTTACCACTTTCTATTTGCAGAATTCCATTTACATAAACAATTTTAAAGAAAGGTATTTGAACTTTATGTCATTAAGTCAATTAATTGCTCAGGATAATCTTTAGAATCTGAGCAGGGAACAGCTTCTATAAAAGCATTCATCCAAAGACAGAAATTTTGTTTCAGGATATTATCTTCTCTGTGTATGTCAATCGTTTTCCTATTCACAGGATGGCAAGGCAGAAAATCATGATTTTAGCAATAGTTGCTGCTGAAGGAGAGACTTCAATTTTGAAAAGAGCATATAAAGAAGCTCTTTGAATAATACCTGACAGACTTATCAAAGGATATAATAGCAATTTCATAAGCAGTCTTCCGAAATATATCCCTGGCTTTTTTTGAGTACAGACAAAATGTATTATTGACTCTTAATAAATTAATAAATACTATAAATACCTCTCATGCTATTGCTTCTTAATTAAACTTTATTCTGTTCTTTCTCCAGTTAGCTCAGGGAATGATAAATATCCTTAATTTATCCTCACAGCTGTCCTATGAAAATGTCTAGTCAGGGGTATCAAACTCAATTTCATTGAGGGCCGCATCAGAGTTGTGTTTGACCTGGGGGGGCGTGTGGGCATGGCCAGCTCAACCTCACTCATGTCAGAGGTGCCTGTGGTGGCCCGAGCCCTCTGCCAGCAAAAATGGAGAGTCGAAAACGGAGCTTGGGAGGGCCATACTCAGCCCTCCCAAGCTCCATTTCTGCTGGCAGAAATATCACGGGCCAGCCATTGTTTCCCTGCGGGCCAGATATAAACACCCCACAGGCCAGATCCAGCCCACGGGTCTTGAGTTTGATACCACTGGTCTAGGTTATGGAAGAATCTTTCTCTCTTCCCTCACTGAGGTTCACGCTGCCTGAACCATGGTCTCCCCCTCTTGATGCAATGTTTTATCTGCTAATCACATTCGCTCACAGACTGAGCTCTGAAAATGTGAAGAAAGAAGTATTATCCTAGTCCTGAAACTGTCAGTCTCTATGAATCTTCCATGCTCTTTTGATATCACAGTGTTTAAATAGACTATATGCTTTATTCTTTTTGCTTTCTGGGAATTTGAGCACCTATTCATACAGAGCCTACCATTCTCACTAAAGCAGAGTTGATTTTGTTATATTCACAAGATGTTACTTGCAACCTGGATATATAAAACAAACAAAAATACATATTCCTAGCATTCCTAGGTGGTGCCTGTTGCCCCTTCAGATTTAAATAAATAAAATTGAAAAACTTCAAACAGGCTTAAATTTGACATGTTCCCTAGCTTTTGATTTACCTGACATTTCAAGTTATTTTTAATTTCTTGTACCCAACACATTGTGTAAAATTGAGCAGTGAATCCAATGAGTGACTAAGAATTTGAGCCTTGGATTCAAATTCGCATTCCTATTCTTCTCAATTTATTTTTAGGGGCCAGATTAAGTATTGAGTCAATGTTGAGTAGTCCCTACAGTTTTCTTGGCAAGATTTCAGAACTGCCATGGAAATAGCCTTGAGTTACCAAAGGAAAGGCACCAAAAATATTGGCTGACCTCTCAACTTTATTCGCATTCAGGCACAATGTTAATATTTTCCTTTAGCACTTCTGATTCATCTATTTATTCTTTTCCCACCCATTCACTGGAAGAAGAAAATTAGAAATTATGGTGACATTTTATTTATGTCTGAATACCGACAATCTGTGGTCATTGTTAATAGTTGGTGTGGTAACAGGTGGCTTCTTTTTCAAAGAACATCAGAATAAAAACCTTAACGTAAATTCATGATTTTATAATGTTTTATAACATGACTATGTGGCTTGTCATGTTTAAAAAGTTGCTTTTTTTCTTTGGCTTCCTATCCAGCAGGTTTATCCAGGATAATGGGGATCAAAAAGTAGAAAATAAAATTGAAGAGGTCAGTAGACTATGTTTTCTCTCTTTTTTTCTTCCCCTACTCCCTTTTAATATGTTGCTTTGCATTAATAAATCAATTATCAACTTTATTCTCTTAATACTTCCTCTTGAATTGAAGTTTCTTTTCATTCTTTGGATTGGAGTTGGTTTAAAAAAAGATGAAGATGATTACAACGGTTCAAAGTGACACACATAAAAATCAGGTGGTGTTATATTGAAACTGTTGTAGCTGCCATCTTGGTTTTTGTTTTTTAACCATATCCTTCCATTTGAAAACTTACAGAAATTCTTAGCGCCTCCCCTGTAGACTGCTTTGTTAAGCTTCTCGTGTTGGTTGGGGTTGAAGGAGGATAGTTGTGTGGTTGTTTTAATAATGTCCCCATATGGCTACTAACATGTACATCAATTCTTAACATGTACATACATTTCTTAAAAATGTAATATAAATGTAACTTATATGCCACATAAATAATCATATCCTGATCTTCAGACTAATTTTCTGTCTGCAAGTGTGTGTGTATATGTATGTGTGTGTGTGTGGCACTGAGGCACTGTGTGGCCTCCTGCCTCACTGTGAGCAAACAGAAGTGGGCCTCCATACATGGCGGGGGGGGGGGAGGCACTCCTGAAAATAAGCCCTAGTGCTTATTTTGTAGCCCAAAAGAATATAAGACCTGGTCTTATTTTTGGGTAAATACGGGGGTATATATATATCTGCATCATAATAGGTCATTTTGATTTTATATTAATGGTTTATCCTTGATACTTTTAATTTTAAACTTTTCTGTTGCTAAAATGCAAGTGGATTAGGTCATGACTTCTATAACTTTGATGAAATCAGTGAGGTTTATTTTCATCATCAATAACGTAAATCTCAATTATTTCATTGACCTGTTCAAAATATAGCTAAGTTTAGAACACGCCATTATTTTCAAAGGTTTGCATGGTGTGTGTGTGTGTGTGTGTGTGTGTGTGTGTGTGTGTAACATAATAACAACACTACATGGATGTGAACAATGGAACATGTTTGTATATTATAAATAAGTAATTACTATTAATAATATAACTGAAACATGAATAAATTCTAGCCATTTTCTCTACAATTACATTCATGATCACTGAATATAATTCTGAATATTATGAATATAATACATTCAGAATATTTATGATATACATAGCATATTAATTAAAATAATTTTAAAAAATTAATACTAAAATTTAAAATACTAAAAATTTATAATACTAAATAATTAAAATTAAACCAGGTCCTTGGTTAACTCCCAGTGAACTCTACAGTTCTCTTTACAGTGTTGAAGGACTCTTTGGAGGACCTTTGGAATATAGAAGGCAAAACAAAACAAAACAAAAAAGCAAGTCCACTTAAGATAATGTTGACTGTGTCTGAAGTGCATTGCGGGAGTCAGTTTTGGGAAATTTGGGTTTTTTAAAACATAGTTTGATAGAACTTAACATTGCAGTTATAGAAGATAGCAAAAAAAAAAAATGTGGCAGAAGGGAGTGTCAAAGAAGAAGGTGTCCACACTGACCTTGAAGGAGAGGAATGAAGGCAGGTGCCATGAGGGTTGCAGTTTTCCATGTTGAGTGGGAGAGTATTTAAAGAAAGCAGGCAGGGTAACCAATCGTCAGTTTATTTTATTTAGTTATTTATTAAATTTATATGCCGCTAATCTCTCTACTGAAAGGAACTCTGGGAGGCTATTCATCACTTGCATCTTTGTGCAATAACTTGATTAGCTCCAGATAAAGCTCAGGAAAGTAGCAATTGGATGTTCTTCTATGCTGGTCTATGACCAAAATAAAGATTTGATTTGATGTTTTTGGAGTTTGGACTATGTCCTTTATTTCCACCATCACTTTTGAAATTGGAGAGATTCTTATTAAGAGATTGGCATGTCTGTCCATGATATTCCTGAAATATTTAAAGTGGCTTATAATGCCTCTATTCTCTACAAATTGTCATTTTAAATGGAAAAGGTATTTATACAAAACTAACTTTTAATTTTCTTTTAGGTTATTGCACCTCTAAGGGAAAAGATCCGAGAATTAGAGAAAAGGTATGCTTGATTTGTGCTTTCAGTAGATCATCTTTTGCTTTATTTTAAGTTAAGGCAAGGAGCTTATGTTAGAATATTTGGTCAAGAGTGCCATGTTACTGTACTGAAAGAACGTATGTATGCAATAAATGCTACTGTCTCTAATGGTAGTATTAAATACACATAGTCCTCAGTTAACGGCTGCCTCATTCAGAAACCATTCAAACTTAAAGACATGCTGAAAAAGTAGATACATGACCAGTATTTAAACTTACAGCAGTGGCAACATCCCTGTGGTCATGTGATCGCAATACAGGCACTTGGCAACCAGCATGCATTTATGGCCATCACAGTGCCCCATGGTCATGTGGTTGCCATTTTTGTATTTCACAACTGGCTTGCAATAAACAGAGTCAATAGGAAAACTGGCAGGAAGTTACAAGTCACAATCACATTTATTTATTTATTAGTTCGATTTATATGCTGCCCTTCTCCGGAGACTTAGGGCGGCTTACAATGCTTTAAGCAATAGCTTTCATACTTTTGTATATACCTGTTTAGTAGGGCTTTTTTGCCCCCCCCCCCCAAGCGGTGTTCTATTTTATACAAAGTCAGCTTATTGCCCCCACAAACCGGGTCCTCATTTTACCTACCTCGAAAGGATGGAAGGCTTGAGTCAACATAACCTCACACTAACAATGGCGGGGATTCACTTAACCACAGCAAAACTGATATACGTTGGCCGTGGTTATGGGTTATGTGACTTTCAGTGGTGTTCTAGATAGGAATATATCTTAGTAGTAGAAAGTACCATGTTTCCCCTAAAATAAGACCCACCCCAAAAAGAAGCCTTATGTTTTTGAACGCATGCGTTCAAATTAAGCCCTATCCCTAAAATTAACCCTAATTAAGACCCCACCCACCCCGAGGTGCAGGGGGTGGGGTGAGGTAAAAAGCTAGGGTGGAGATGGGGGGATGGAGCTTCCCTACTTACCAGGCCTTGCACACCCTAATAGTTGCTTTTCCTTCTGCGGCCACTTCTTCTGTGGCCGCTTCTTTTGCAGCCCACTTCTGTGGCCGCTTGCCACCATTCGCATGCCTCACCCCTGGCCTCCTTTTCGGTGTCAGAGCCTTCCAGAAAGCCCTCTGCAGCTGAGACACTGCCCTCTGCAGCAAACTCTGTTATCAGCTGCAGAGAGCTTTCTGAAAGGCTTCTGAAGGCAAAACAGAAACCAGCGGGTGCCATGCGTGTCAATCCAGAACCAGTTTCTCAGCTGCAGAAGGCTTTCTGGAAGGCTCTGACGGCGAAACAGAGGCCGGGGGCGACACAGTTAAGCGGCGGCAACTGGCTATGTAAGAAGTGGGCTGGCAGCAGACTCCTGCTGGGCGGGGCTGTGGGTGGCACCACCGCAAGGTGAGTCAATAATTAGACCCCCTGAAAAGAAGCCCTAGCCATTTTTTTCAGGGATCAAAAGAAAATAAGACACAGACTTATTTTCGGGGAAACACAGGTAGTAACAACCTATCATTGGTGGTTTATCAAACTAATCATATAATCCTGTAGAAGTTTATTAAAAAATTCTGCTGTGTTCAGTGGGATTTACTCCTCAGGTAACTGTAAATAGATTTGCAGCCTAAAATACAAGAATCTCTTCTGAAAGACAAGAATTTAGAGTTGAATATGACAGCATAACAATGCTAAAAGGAGGAAGGTAGAACTAAATTAGTTCTTCCTTTAATTTTCTCCTGGAAATGTCAGCAAATCATGTTTTACAAATATATTAATATTTGGAGTTTGTTTTGAAAGTAAATGCAAGGATTTTGTATACAGTAAACTTCAGCAATAAATATCGATTGACCATATCTGGCATCTTACCTCAAATCTTTGGAAATTTTTGACAGTCTATAATAACATGCAGTATATTTTATTCTAAATTCCACTGATCAATTATTTTCTTATAAGATATCTAGTCCAAATTGAATGCTGAAATATAAATGGGGAGGCTTCAATATTATATTCCAAATATTTTTAAACATCTTAAATTTAGAGATGTTTTTGCTGCATAATAGATTGAAAACAAATCATTGCAGTTATTTTAATTCTGAACTTAATGTGGAAATCACCATTTAAGAATTACTGTAAATTAAATACTAAAAACTATCAGCATTTTTTGGGACACAGCATGTTTGTATTTACGACAACATGTAGAAACATGTATTACTGTAAACTGCTGGTGCAGTTTACAACAAACCAGCATTTTTTTCTTTTTATTCACTAAGAAAGACAGAAGCTGCAAATGAAAATGCATTGTAAACAAATATTATCTAACAATTCAACAATGATTATCAAATGTATTATATAAGATATATAATTATATATATAATTATATAAAATATAATTATATATTATATCTTATTATATAATTATATCATATAATACGATATATACGATATATACAATATAATTCTATCATATTGTATAAAATCATCCCCTAATTTGAAAACCAAATTGATATCTCAGTAAGTATTTAGTAGGCAGAGTTGCAGACGGCTATTTCAGAACCGAATATGAAGTTCTCTCCCTCTATTTCAAAGTTAATGCATGACATTGAGCTGGTAATTTTTACCCATGCTGGAATCAATAATGTCTATTAGTGTAATTGGATAGAAAATCCCTTTGCTGCAGTCTTAGAATCATCCAGATGTAATATTCTCTACACCTTCTTAGAGAGATGCCTTCTAAATTGTACCTAATTTATATTGCTTCTTTCTGAAAATGGGATTTCTAAATAGTCCCTATAATGAGTGAATTATAAATATGGAGTAAATCAAATGTAAGATAATGAATCTCTCAGTAGCGCTGATGCTAATGATGTTCTATCAGAATATTTATTCAGAATATCACCTGTGTTTTCTTTCCAAACATGACTATTGAGCTGTAGAGCTAATACGAATTTTTAAATATTTTTCCCAATATGCTGATAAATGACTCTCCATATGTACTGTAAACGCATTATCTTATTCTTCTATAAACAAAGCAAGGATATATTTTATGTTGGAAAAAAATAAAAAAAAATACTTTGAAAAAAAAACCAAACAAAGCAAGGATATACTAAATGGTTTTTGGTGTCTCTGTTAGTGTCCCTGTGTTGTTAGTGCACAAGAGAAGTATACTAGTTTAATACATTTGAGTGTCTTGAGATTGGCTGGGATGGTGGAAGTATACACAACCCGGTTAATAAATTTCAGAACACAGTCTGAGCACGTTCTTGAGATACAGATTTGGGTCAATTCATACATAAGCAGAGACCTCTGGGGCTTCTTCCCATGCCACTTCAACAATGTCTGGATAGCAGAAGTATGGGTGGAAGGCTAGGACCAGATTTCTTTTTCATCTCTACAATAGGACAAGTCAAGGAACTAATGTTAATGAATAAGTTCAAACAGAGGTATCCATCGCAAAGAAGTCCAGTTTAATTCTAAGAATCTGTTGTTTTAAAATAGATCTTCTGATATAGAAGAATATTAGGTTGGAGTGGCCTAGAAATCTCTTAAATCAAAATAAGTAAACACTGGCAGGATGTGGGAAGAGAATCACCGACTCTGCCAAATAACTAAAGAACTATTAATTCTTTTTTCCTCTCTTGTGAAATGCCACAATTATTTAGAGTCAGATTTCTTTTGCTGTGGCGAATATTTGTAACAGTTTTCCTGTACATACTTTTAGTGATATTTTGAACCATTAAACATATTAGAAATATTTTTGGGGATTATTAACCACAGTTCTTCCTATTAAACACCTTATTAATAATTCTGAAATAAAATATTTCATAATCCAGATTTTGTTTTTAAAAATCCATGAAAAATCCAGGAAGCAAGTAAGTGCTTTGGTTGAGAAAAACTAATATTTAATGAATGTTAACAATGCTTACAACCTTTACTGATGTGTTGTTTTAATGTTTCTATTTTGAAATGCTTCATAGTTTTACTCAGAAGTACCCACCAGTGAAGTTCTTATCTGAAAAGGACCGTAAAAGAATTTTGGTAAGTTCAGCCCTTGTTTGAGGCTAATCAATTATTCTCAGTTTTTAAAATAAAATTAATGAAAACAAAGTTAGAAGTGGGTCCAAACTGAAAAGGAAATATCTTACTTTGTGATAAATTGTACAGGGATCCAAGCCAATCTTTTGCTGAGCCTACTCAAGCTTGAATGTCTGTGGCAGTTTGGTGGAGCAACTGTTTATTTCTGTTTTGTTGAGCATCCTACAGGCTGTCCCACTGACCCCCAGGGCTGTTTCCAATCAAATGGAAGTTAATTAACTGCTTCCATGATTTCTAGGGTTTGCCCAGTTCAGAGAAGAAACAATGTATGGAGATTAATCTTTAATTAATATTGTCAAAAAGGAGAATTGATTGAGCAATGCTTTGTTTGATATTCCATGCAGTTAAGAACCTCTTAGAAACTACTCTTTGTAATCTTAAAATAGAAAGCAATCATAAATAAAATCCCCCATAAAGGATTAGTCATAAGACATGTGCATTTCTGTATTAAAATGGAAAGGTAACAGGCTTGAACTTGGTATGTGTCGAAGTGACATTTTTAATTTCATTGAGTCTCTCAATGAATAATGCAGTGTGATTATCTTCATTTGAGCAACGTCTCGTGTGATGCATCTAATGAGATCTTTCTATATTCTGGAACAGTAGCTTTTCAAATTACTGGTGAACCATATAAGTGAGCAACTTCAGATGCATTCCAGCATATTTTTAATGTGGCCACTAACACAGTTGTTTTAAAAAAATCAGGCAATATTATTTATGTTAGCTAAAAAGTAAGCTATACAGAAATAATATGTGATTACCATCAATGATGGGAGATTAAGCCTTTCTGGAAACATTTCTATTATTTTCTTTTTCCATGGAAAATATTAACCTCATATCTGTGACTGCGCCAATTGCTTTACATCCCTCGTGGTAATATGCATAAAATAATTTCCATCCCAAATTTGACAAAGGCTCCAGCTAAGCACTCTTTAAACCTATATCACAATGTAATGTGGCCCCTAATCAACAAAACCTTTACTTTGTTTTACCCCTTGCTGCTTAGTAACCCCTCTCAGCCTCTTTCCACACTACTGGCTGAAATGTTTTCAGGTCTTCAGCAGGAGTGAAATCCATCAGGTTCTGACAGGTTCTGGAGAGGAAATTTTTAACAGTTCAGAGAACCAGTACCGGAAATTTTGAGTAGTTTGGAGAACCGGCAAAGACCACCTCTGGCTGGCCCCAGAGTGGGATGGGAATGGGGATTTTGTAGTATCCTTCCCCTGGAGTGGGGTGTGAATGGAGATTTTGCAGTATCCTTCCCGTGCCACGCTCACCAAGCCACACCACACCCACCAAGCCACGTCCACAGAATCGGTTTTTAAAAAAATTGCCTCAGCATCTTCCAAAGCTACCCAATCAGGTGCCTTTTCAGTATCTTCCAGATTGGCAACTTCAGTGCCAATCAAATTAGTGACCTATTCTAGAAGCCCTTCATCTTGTCATTGGGGACAAGAGCTGACCCAAAGCAGTTCCAGTTGATGGGCCCAGCTTTGTTGTGGTGAATCGCACCACTGTTGGCTTTAGAGCAAATTGCATCTCCATTATAACACAAATCTTTTTAATGTTTCATACACACCTAATATCAGTTTTTTTAAAGTTCAGTAAAATAATTATGCAGAAGAAAAAGTGCACAGCTCTTGTTTCCTATTCTCAGGCTGTACTCACAAAAAAAAAATTACTTTCATAATTTAAATGTTCCAAGGGAAGTTGTATAAATGTTTTCCTTCATTGATTATATTGTGTTAATGGAGACATTTGTTGTGGTGTTCAAGTACATGCTTAGATATAAGACATACATCAGATGGTAAACACATGTATGATTCTCATGCTATCTGATACAAAGGAAGTAGCATGTAAAATGGAACAGGTTTCAAACTGTGCAAGTTAATGTTTCTATATTTATACAGAATCTCCTACAATACAGAATATTTCCTAATCCAATTTTTGTATATGCTTACACAGTACTGTATTTAAAAAGAACAGGAAAGTGCTAAAATAGTTCATTTTGGAGACCAAAGAATATGCTTAATGGGGAGATTTTGCTTAGCCAAGACACTTATTTAATTTTAAAAGTGAGCAATAGGATTGTTCTAGAATCGCTAAAATTTCTTGGTATGCACCAAGACAAATTCTTTGTGTGTCCAATCACACTTGGCCAATAAAGAATTCTATTCTATTCTATAAAAAGAAATATCAATTCCAAATAGCATATGAAAGAAGATGGAATTTCCACCTTCAGTTGTTGTGGTTGATAAGCAGGTCAGCTCATGTCTCCCTCAATTTTACAACTTTTTATGATGAGTCACTGCTGTCATTAAGTGAACAACATGATCATTTCCTCAAATGAGGGTTGTTGGGTTTTTTTGAAAAAATCACTGGACACCAGCAAAAAAATGTCACAAATTGTAGTTATGTGACTGCAGGATGCTGTAACCAGTCCTAAATGTGAGCCGGTTGCCAAATGCTGGAAATGTGTGACCACATGACTCCAGAAGAGAGTACAGCAGTCATAACTTTGAAGATGGATCATAAGTACCTTTTGGAGAATGTCTGTTATAACTTTGAATAATCAGTAAGCAACTTGTTAAGGGAGGACCACTTATACAAATGAATGAATGAATTAATAGTTTATGGTTCATAAATCTCTTATTAAAATATTGGGCCAAAAATGTGTTGATATTAGTCTCTGTGGCACTGAGATTGGATGATGTACCATTTTGAGAAGCATTTTATTTTCTCTAAGGACATCATCTACCTGTCCTACCAAATCAGATAGGGTGGACAAACTCTTAGTCCCTTTTATAATTTTCTGTTGCATGTTCTTCTCCCACAAATCTAGTACACATGTAGTAGCTTTTGTGGTATGATTATTTTTAAAAATGCTGTACTCAGTGTTATGAACACTTCTAATCTGGCATCTGGAACCTTTTAATAAGAATTTAGTTTAAAGAACATTTTTCCTACTGTCAATTTTTTGAACATTGTGGGACAGTAATTAATGACTTGGATCCTATGGGACTCTTTGATTCTGTGGGTAGCAAATAGAATTTCACTTGCACAGTAGGACGTTGTTAACTGGAACAATTTGTGGCATATCCTACAATGCTTTTGGGAAGCCTACAAACCCTTGAGGTTGTCATAATGCTGAGAATTCTCAGTGTATTTTGAGGGCACCAGGTTGGAGATATTTGCTGCAGTAAGTAAGTGTTGCACTGCACCAGGAGCATGTATTTATTTGCAAACATTGCTATTGATTGCTTGTATTGGGTAGACACACTAAACTTTTAACATAATTTAAAATAAAATAGATTTTTTAATCCTTAATAGATCAATATGGGTTTTTTCCTTTTGTTCACTTTATCAGTCATTTTAACTAAATAATATTAAATAATAGAGAATTATAATTTTTAAATGGGCTGACTTATCAAATTCAAGTAGAAAAACATTCCTTTTTTACTCCACATGTAATTTTCTACCCCTGCCCCCCTTCGATACATTTTATCATTGTAAAAGACAATAATTAACGAATGAATAGCCAAGTTGGCATATGTTCAAGACTCCTCCACTATTAGTTATTTGGAATATCTGCAATCACTTTAGTCTCACAGCTGCTCTATAGCTTGTCTTGGTTGAATACCAAAAATTGGCTCCTACACAGTTGACCCTTAGGAAATTGTCATATTAAACTGAAGCCCATTTGTTTTCTTCACAGTTCAATAGTGCACAGTTATTTTCTATGGTCTTTGGAATGTTGTGGGTAATTAGGACTTCTAAATGGTACCAACTAAAGATCTTTGTATTTCTATGACAAACTAGATGACCTATAATTTTTCCCCATTATCTGTGCAAAATTGATGAGAAGGCTTAAGGAAAACCAAGAGAAAATGGGCCTTTGCTCAAAATGTAGTTCTGCTTAATTCCTTTATTTAATAGTGAAATAGTAGCTGTGGGAAGAGGCCTCCTAATGGAGAAAGTGATGCAACAGTTTTGGATTGCCTGTCCGTATTATAACCCTTCTGTGGACAATCTGGGTCTGCATGTCTCTTCTGTTTTGTCAGCCTCCACATCTTCATGAAAAGCTTGCATGTTAAAATGGCAAAATCCTCTGTTTGATTAAAAATTATGTTCTCAACATATACGAAATATATCCTACACAATGTGCGAATATACTGTATTGGGCACTAAAGTCCTATTTCTCTTCCTATATCTTACTTTACTTCTTTGCTAAACTAAAGGGAAATTTCTTTGGGGAGGTGAGATTGTAAACATTAGTACCTACGGTTTGTTTAATTGATCTGAAGGAAAATCTTGTATGTGGCTTCTCAGATGCTCAGATGCTAAAAGAATTTTGAATGCTATTGTTCTTTTATGTAATGTTTGTGGACTTTTTGTCTGGTATTTTCATTTAAAATAGAAGAAAAATTTATATGCAAACTGTCCTAATGCAGATAACTGGAGGAGCAGGGTTTGTGGGTTCTCATCTTACTGACAAACTAATGATGGATGGCCATGAAGTTACAGTTGTGGACAACTTCTTTACGGGCAGGAAAAGAAACGTGGAACACTGGATTGGCCATGAGAACTTTGAACTGATTAATCATGATGTCGTAGAGCCCCTGTACATTGAAGGTGAGTATCCTGAGACATACATGCTGGTTATGACAGTAAGGAAGAATTCTTCTCTTTGCATGAAGTGCTTTCTCTGTGTGGTTGGAATGTCTCTACAATAGCTTCTTCTGGTATCCTCAAGGTTGTTAAATCTCATTTTCCATAATCCTTAGACAGGATGGTGTACACTGAGTGATTATTCTGGTATTTTACATTCAATTAGAAGCTTGATACTTTCCTTTCAAGACTAAAGCAGGTTGTTTTGATCTTATTGGAGGTGTGTGATATGCTGTTCTGAACATTGCAGAAGTTTTCAGAGCTTGAAATCTTTTGAATCTGATACGATATACTATTGCATTCACCCATACATGAAGAGCTGGGTATACTGGCTTATACAGGCAACTGTCATTGGAAGTATTGAAATTCCTAGGAAATTGATATGGTGGACGTGTTTTCCTTAATTATACCAGTATATGATTGATATAACTAGAGATCTTACCAAATTAGGATGGCCTTGGTTTTAAATTGAACAAATTTCCAAGTTCTCCAAATTTTATCCAATTGGAGTCAATTTGATATTGATCATAGCAAGTAGGGAATTTGGCCTCTACCATGCATGCATCTGAAGATTCAGACGATACAATACTGCCTTTCTTCATTGTGATTTGAAATCATATGGAGATACCATCCTGGAATGCCTGGTCCTGGTTTTTAGTATAGAGGAGAGCTTTAATTATCCTAAGAAAAGAAGAAGGAGCATCTATGTTCTTTCAATGATGGAGAATAGGAACAAGGCTTTTCAGTGACAATTTTACTCCTGGGTTTAATATATTTTCCATATCTGATTCAATCCCCTTTACCTGAGTTCATCTGCAGGTTTATTCTATAATATTTTGCTTACAGAATCAGATACTTCATAGTGCAAAATATCTTCTCCATCGGTCTACAACAAAATGAAAATATAGGTGTAGAAGTCATCATTGATTGTAATTCTTGAATTGGCATACCAAAATGTAGGCAGAAAAAAAATTCACCCAAGTGACTTTTGGAAAGAAATTCATAAGGAACCTGTTAGCGTTGTGAATGTTTTATAAACATTTTGAATCAGTCACTGGAAAATAGTGACACAGGACTTGAAGAATTACTTTGCCATGGCTTGCTAAAGTGCCTTGCATGTTTACTTTCTGATTTTTGAGGAAGATCCTCAGTCCCAAGCAGTCCGTGACTGTGGATGAGGATTAAAGAATTGACTACCTGGCAGAGCTGGCTTTCTTATTATAGTTACTGTGGACATGTTCACAAGTGCTTTTTCTGGCTACCTATCTCAATCTGTTTTCTCAAGATGCATCTTGCCTACATGTGCATGTAACCTAATACAGAAGATCTTGCAGTTGAAAAATAGCTTTCACCTGTGCAAATTAATCATCTGATAATAAACTGGCGGCTTGAATTTTCCATAATATCTTTGATGGTCTGCTCTTCAGCAAAATGAGTTCACCTTGTTTCAGCTTTGATTACCCTACACTATAGAGCAGAGCCTATGAACTATCCCAGAATTCCGAGATGTGTAATTTGCACTCTAATTCCGATTCTTTTAGGATATTGGTTACAAGAAGAGTGTCTTTCAATAATAAACGGGGTTTGACATGCATGTATCTAAAGCTGAAAAGTACTGTTATTATTTTGTTGAATCTCATAATTTTTTAAATCATTTATTGTAAAATAAATTTGATCTCTCTCTCTCTCTCTCTCTCTCTCTCTCTCTATCTATCTATCTATCTCTGTGTTTCTTTTTCTTTTTCTTTTCTTTTTTCCATAGTGGACCAGATTTATCACTTAGCTTCTCCAGCTTCTCCTCCAAATTATATGTATAATCCCATAAAGACATTAAAGACAAACACAATTGGAACATTAAATATGTTAGGTGAGTATAAAGTTTAAGTGCAATGTTATTTTCATGTTTACTTAGGAAGGATAAAACTCAGCATTCTCATTTAATTTTTCCATTGGCATGTCCCTCTGTAGTTGTGTATTGTTGCATATTGATCTCCTGTTTGATCTGAAATGCTAAAAAGAAGTTCTGAGCTGAATTTAGCAGTTCACACAACATGCTAAGACAAAATATGGTTTTGCAACAGACAAGCAGCATGCTGATACTTGCCACATTGCATGTACTTGTTCAGGAATTCAACTTGAGGGTAGGGTTGACAAGCCACTTGTGGAAGGGTATGCAGCTTGCACCAGCATGTGGCTCAATCAGCAGTAAATTCTTGGTTGCCAAAGACCCCATTTACAATTTTGAATACAGTTGAAGGCCCCATAGTGTACAAAGACACATTATGCATATAGACAGGTTGAATGTTTAAAGCAGTTTCTTTTAAGTATTGCAGAGGATTTGGCATGATTGAACATTGTGTTGTCAGTTTTCAACAATCATGATCAACATGGGACTCCAGAGCCGGCAAAAAGCTGTCAATTGCCCAGCTTGTCTTAGCAGTGTGAACGTGTGTATCTGCATGGGTGTGTGCTTATACCTCTGTGTATGTGAGAATACAGACCTAACCAGAATAAAGGCATGCTGAGCTTGTATGTGCCAACATGGTGGTTGAAGCAGCCCTTATACAGTAGCTGAATTGCCAAGAGGTTATTCTTAATAGAGAATGTAAGCAAATATTCATGTCTAATACAATTTAAAATTATTTCCATTCCATTGAGAAATTTAGTTTTGAAGCTGTTACCAAAGAACCTACTATAATAATACCAAGGCAATTCAGCCCATGCTTATCATTGAAAATTGTGACAGATTGCAGTGAGAAGGAATTCACAAATCTGGTAAATGACAGATTCTGTACCACTGCTTTGGCTCAGATAGCAAAGAATATTTAATAGTGCAGAGCAAAAAAACAATTTTATGGGAAAATGTTCAAGGCAAATCACTAAGTAGTGGCTCAGAAATAGAAAAGAACATTCAGAATAGAACAGAACATTCACCAATAATATTCCTAGATGTATCTACTTTAAGAGATAAATCTGAATCTTTTTATTTAGAATAAAATTGTGCAATGTAATTGAAATGTAGCTGGGGGCACATTTGGAATTTTATCATATTAAAAAATAGTTGCAATCTTGCCCAGATAGAAAATGGTGTAACTGAGGACATGGCCACTCATAAAAGGTCATTTGCCAGAAGGCATATTCACCCAGGGGTTCCTCTTAGCCATCCCAGTGGGATCATTGTACCGCTGAAGGATCACTCCTACAAATCAATAGGATGGATGATTTTATTTATTTTATTTATTTATACATTCAGTTTCTGTAGCCGCCCATCTCAAACAATGACTCTGGGCAGCTTACAATTCAATATAAATATGTACACATCAGTGGTGGGTTTCAAAACTTTTTACTACCGGTTCTGTGGGTGTGGCTTGGTAGGAGTGGCATGGCTTGGTGGGCATGGCAGGGAAAGGATACTGTAAAATCTCCATTCCCACCTCACTCCAGGGAAGGTTACTGCAAAATCTCCATTTCCTCCCGATCAGCTGGGACTTGGGAGGCAGAGAATAGATGGGGGCGGGGCCAGTCAGAATTTTTACTACCAGTTCTCTGAACTACTCAAAATTTCCGCTACTGGTTCTCCAGAACTGGTCAGAACCTGCTGAAACCCACCTCTGATACACATACTGAAATTAAAACAATTAAACATTATAAAACAAAAACAAAATAGTATAAGGAGCCTAGTAGATTTTTGCCTGGGAATGTTTTGGTACCCCCAGGCTCCAAGTTGATATTCCCTGTCTTAAAATGTTGTTTGCTCTGTTAAGTGTTAAGTCAGTGTTTCTCAACCTTGGTCACTTGAAGATAGATGGCCTTCAACTCCTAGCCAACTTTGCTTTGCTAGTGGGAATTTTGGGAGTTGAAGTCTACCCATCTTCAAGTGACCAAGGTTGAAAACAACTGTATTAAGTAATTATAGATGGATTATTTGCCTACGTACACATATATGATTAAAGCCACTCGTTATAATGGATTCTTATATCCTTTGTTTTGTAGCTTTCAGCCTTGATGTTCTTGATTTTTAATGGCAGGATGAGAATAAACTTTTCATTTTCACCTTAGATTGATCACTCACTCGCTCACTTACTTATTTTATTACATTTTGGATTGTAATCCTTTCACAGAGGCTAGAACTAAAGGGGCAGAAGGTTATGTGACACCTGCTGCAAATAACAATAAATTCCAGATTATAAATCATTTTCAACTGCCTGTGCTAATAATATAATGAACCCTCATAGCAAAGAAGTAATATACAATATTACCTGGCTACAGGCTCTTCCAAAAACTCTTAAAACTGGTACAAATTTTCTTGGCATAGTTAAATACTTCTTGAATCACACATCAGCATTTGTTCTGTCCTGAAAGAAGTGCTGATGTGTAGGATTTTACTTCAGGGTTGGTTGAAATAAAATAAAGATATGTCTGCTCCTTTTAAAAAAATATGTCCTCTTTTTGTTAAGGTTTAGCAAAACGTGTTGGAGCCCGTCTTCTCCTTGCATCCACTTCTGAAGTGTATGGAGGTAAGAAGTGACTGATATGGGAAGTTCCACTTCATAAAGGCTTTATTGATTTCTCCACCTCACTTGTCTTCCATTTAAAGTATGAACAATTTGTTTGTTTCCTGCCACCAAACATATCCCAAATACCTTCCTCCTCCTATTTTCCCCATAACAATCCTGTGAGGTGAGTTGGCTTGAGGGAATGTGACTGGCCCAAAGTTATCCAGCCGGCTTTCATGGCTAAGGCGAGACTTGAAACTCATGGTCTCCTGATTTCTAGCCTGGTGCCTTAACCACTAGATCAAACTGGCTTTCCATAGATAATTGGCTATATGGTGATAATGATTGACAAATCATCCATATTTTCTGTTACACTACTTTACTCTTTAATTATGAGTTACTGTAATTTGATTACATTCAACTTGACATATTGTTTTGTTCTGAGTTTGGCATCCTAATGCCATCAAAATGTTCAAATAATAGTTCCCATGTTCCCTGACCAATGGCCATTTTAATGGAGGCCTATAAGAATTGTAATCCAATTATAAAAGACAAGGTTCGTTTGCCAAGCCATGGTGTAGAAATGCAGTACAGTCAAACCTTCTTCATTGTTACTAATGGAGGTTGATTTCTTTGGGAATTTATGTTGATGGAAACTGAAATTAATTCAGATATGAAGAGATTTAAAATGTACAGTTTAAACTATATCGGTGATATGACTATTGAACAATTTGCGAACAGAATATGTGGGATATCTTAATTTTTTTATATATTCCGTTCATTCAATTTATATAAATCCCATCTCAAATATATGAGGGGGGGCTCAGAAACCATTAAAAGCAATATAAAAACACCAATACAATAAAAAACTGCAATAGAAGAACAATAAAAATATTTTTAAAACATACATTATCACATGGTATGTATGAACAATTTGTCATTGTAACATTGCAGATAATTAAAGGACCCTTTGTATTGATGGGTGTGTTCTTTTATCCTTTCTCAATTGAGTAACTGCAATAAAGCATTTTAGCAGAACTCTCTAATTATCCAATCAATTTTTTTAAAAAAAATCTCAGTTGTAAATAAATTAATTTTGTATCGGATGATACTGTGGCTCAGAAGAAAGAATTCCACTTGTTTTTAGTAGTGCCCAGCAAAAGTAAATCAAAGTAGAAATGGAAAGAATTTTTTTTTCTTTAATTTATATGCCGCCCTTCTCCGGAGACTCAGGGCGGCTTACAATGCGTTAAGCAATAGCCTTCATACTTTTGTATATTTATACAAAGTCAGCTTATTGCCCCCACAATCTGGGTCCTCATTTCACCTACCTTTGAAAGGATGGAAGGCTGAGTCAACCTTGAGCCTGGTGAGATTTGAACTTGCAGTAATTGCAAGCAGCAGATGTTAATCTGTTAATAACAGTGCTTTAGTCCACTTTACTACAGGCTAAAAATTACTAAAAATTGACTGTTTTAGGCATAGCTCTTTTTCTATTTTATATAAATTAAGGCAATTCTCTCTCCTTTTTTAAAAAAAAATCAAAACCCTGATGCCTTTCTAGAAAATTCTGGTGCTCAATAGCAATTTTTAAACTGGCTATGTTTGAGCTATATGATCAGCATATTACCTTTTTTCTAATAGATTTTGTTTGTCCTTGATTAAATTTTTTTAATGGCCCATATATTCTCTGTGTGTGGAACATACACACACACACACACACACACACACACACCTCAATTGACTGGGATCAATTACAAATAAATTAAGTTCCCAGAATTGCACTAAAACTATAGGTATTTCAAGGAAATTGAACAGATGGTTCCAGAAAGATAAGAAAAAGAAGTTTTCAAGACAGGAAAGACATTCACGTAACATATTGCTGAGCTCTGCTATCCATGATTCTATAGAATAGCCTTTTTTCTCCTCTGTGTGGTCCATTCCTGCATGGAATGGCTAAATAATAATAATTTTTTAAAAAAATAAAATAATAATAATAATCATAGTAATAGTAGTAATAGTGATGATGATGATGATAATAATACAAAACACATCAAAAAATTGCAGTTTCCTTCAATAACACCAGCGGAACTGCAAAAAAACTGCGCTACTTGGAACATCATATATTTTAAGAAGGTACTGGTTGATACCTAGAACGTTGGCAGCAACCTGTATCAACCATTAGCACCAGTCAATGGTATTTGTGATGCATTTTTGAATGTTCAGTTGACTAAGTTTCATGTTTAATGAATAAAGTAAATAATAATAATAACAACAACAACAACCTTTATTGTCACTGCACCACATATGTACAATGAGATTGGTGGAGCTCCCTCAGTGCACCCCCCCCCCCCCAACACAGTACAACTCACAGTGAAGACAGAAAATTCCTAACCAATAAATTATATTAACAAACACCCAGTCCTATTGCACCAGTGTGAACATGTTACACGTTGTGCCGGCCCTGCAAGTCCATCATACTACGTAATTATGATGTTATTTCACATTCAGGAGTCTGACAGCCCACGGATAGAAACTCTTCTTCAGCCTGTTTGTGCGGCTGGCTATGCTTCTATATCTCTTTCCGGATGGTAGGAGGGTAAAGAAGTGCTGACCAGAGTTTGAGTCATCCCTGAGGATTTTCCTCACTCTTTTAAGATAGCGAGCCCTAGCGATCTCATCTAGTGGTATTGGGACAGCCCACGATGTTTTGTGCTGTGCTCACACCACCCTCTATAATGTTTTTCTATCTGTGGCTGTCAGGCCGGCATGCCATACCATGATGCAATAAGTGAGAACGCTTTCTATTGTGGACCGGTAAAAGGAGGTCATCAGTTCCACCCTGTTTTACTCAAGACCCTAAGGAAATGGAAAACCTGTACTGAATTGTAAACCTGGGAAACTAAGCATTCCACACATCCTTAGGTCAAAGTTAGAAAAATATGTTCCATCAAAAGTAATTAATATTAATACTGTTACTTGTTATTGGATAACTGAAAGCTCCTCTCCTTTTTTTTTTCTTTCAAGATCCTGAAGTTCACCCACAAAATGAAGATTACTGGGGTCATGTGAATCCTATTGGACCTAGAGCATGTTATGATGAAGGAAAGAGAGTTGCTGAAACCATGTGCTATGCCTATATGAAGCAGGTATTGAGGGCAAAGTTTGCACAGTAATAACATTTGTGTGTGAGAGAATGTGCCTTCAAGTCAGTGTTGATTCCTGGTGGCAGACAGGACTAGCCCTGCAGTTTTCTTGGCAATGTTTTTTTTTTTTTTCTGAAATGGTTGCCATTGCCTTCTTCCCAAGGTCACCCAGTTGTCTTTATGTCTTGGTAGGACTAAAATTCACAGTCTCCCAGCTTCTAGCCTGCTGCCCTAATCACTATGCAATCTGGCTCTTAGTCATAACATTATACAGGTAGTCTTCAGCTTCTGACCATAATTGAGCCTAAAATTTATGTGGATAAGTGAGAAATTTGTTAAGTGTTTTTGGCCTATTTTATGACTTTTCTTGCCACATTTGTTAAGTAAACCACTGCAGTTGTTAAGTTAGTAACAAACGTAACTAACTTAAGTGTTGTTAAGTGGATCTGGCTTCTCCATTGACTTGACTTGTTAAAAGGTTGCAAAAGGATATCATATGATCTCATACCCTGCAACCGTCATAATATGAACCAGTTGTCAAGTGTCCAAATGTAAATCACGTGACCATGGGGATGCTGCAAAGGTCATAGGTTTGAAAAGTGGTCATAAGTCACTTTTTTCAGTGCCACTGTAACTTCGAAAGGTCACTAAATGAACTGTTGTAAGTAGTAAGAGAACTGCCTGTAGTCCAGAATTTGAAAAATGAGTGTAATACTAAGACACTTGCAGATGAATGCAAAATATATCAGGTGTGAGATAAGTAATTATCTTTGGGGGCTGAAGGCAGCCTTTGGTCTTTCTGTTAATCCCATCTTTTTTTTCATATATATTGATACAAAAATCTTTTTTTTCATCACTTGTTTTCTGGGGTGGGTAGATGTTATTTTTTGTTTGTTTATTCGGTCACAGTAAACTGTTTGTGGACTGATGCATATTATTCTCTCAGTAACTGCTTCTTGAGTTCTGATAAACCTGTGTTTGTTATTTTTTTATTTTGTTTTTATCCCTCCTTTATTATACCCTGTTTCCCCGAAAATAAGACCCTGATTTATATTTTTTTAAACCCGGAAATAAGCGCTTGGCCTTATTGCCATGCGCTCAAAAGCCCAATTGGGCTTATTATCAGGGGATGTCTTATTTTGGAGGAAACAGGGTAGTTATAAATAATTCAAGGCAGTGAAAATACCTAATACTTCTACCTCCTCCTGTTTTCCCCATAACAATAGCCCAGTAAGGTGGATTGTACTGAGAGTGTGTGACTGGCCCAAAGTCACCAAGAAGGTTTTCATTTATAAGGCGAGACTAAAACTCAGTCTCCTGGTTTCTAGTCTGTATCTTAACCACTAGACCAAACTGGCCAGCATCTAAACATTTTGTCTCCTCTGGGCTTCTTTTTAAGATTGCCTTTGGTTTTCCTAAACATCCAAAGCCTTCTCCAGTAACAAAAGCTTTAGCTTTATCATTAGCTTTATTGATGTTTTCAGTGTACAGTTAATTTTACTTCATCTAGTAGATTTTTTTTTTTTTTGATAGGAACAAAGTTGTTGGGAAGTTAAGAATAAACTAGTTAAATGGTTCTTTATGTTTCATCCTATGTGGTGAATTTCATTTTCTAATCTACAGTTGCTAAGATACTAAAAAGGCAGATAGGCTATACAAATATTATAAGAGGCAGTGTAAATTCTAATACTTTCTGGCATTTCTTCTAGAAATATTATAAAGAGAACAAATAATTGAGACATGTTTGGCAACATTTCCTGCTGTTGTCAGGATCTATAAACATTCATGGCATCCTCAAGAGTATCTCTTTTATTTACTAGTTTAAAGTGCTTCGTGTCCCCAAAAGCCTAACAAAAATTGATTTAATTTAATCAGAAATACTCCTGACAGATCATTATATTATCCTTCCAAAGAGAAATCTCTGAGAAGGAGTTCTTGCAACAACAATGCTACAAACCAGTCTTCCCCATCTTGTACAGTCCCAATATGCTGGACTCCAACTCTCATAATTGCTAACCCATTTTAGAGGCTGGCTGGGATGGTGGGACTGTTGTAGCAGATATTTGAAGGACACTGTGTTGGCGAGTAATAGATCTATAGCTGAACTTTTTTTTTTTTTTTGGTCTTTTAATGACCCCATAATCCCTAAATTGGGACATATCCCTGGAGTCGGGGCAACTGAATGGAGTTGAGTGTTTACTGGCCGGATGCCCTTCCTGTCGCCAATGCAGAGTTTGCAGCAGATAATTTCACATTGTGCCCAAACAGAGAAATATCTGCCGCTACCTAGAATCGAACTCACAGCCTCCTGATTGTGAGGTGAGAGCTCCACCTCTAGGTCACTGCACCACTCTGAACTATAACTGAACTGCACCATATGAAATCATTACAATTGTATGTGTTTGTGGGTATGTCTTATTCTGGAATAATACAAAAAATATTATTTTCAATAGAATTTTTTCAAGATGCTATTTTTCTTGTCCTTTCAGGAAGGTGTTGAAGTAAGAGTTGCCCGAATCTTCAATACATTTGGTCCCCGGATGCACATGAATGATGGCAGAGTTGTTAGTAACTTTATCTTGCAAGCTCTTCAAGGAGAACCCTTAACTGTATGTATTCATCTTCTTGTCCATTCAGTTTAATGACTGTGTGGCAAAGACAAATCAAAGTCTGCCATTTTGTGAAATCTCACAGGATCAATATTTTAGTAAAGAATCTTAAATTAAGAATTTAAACATTCTAATGTATCATCTAATATTTAATCACATAAGCACATTGTGTTGTACTCAGAAGTGCCATTTAATATTCAGATACCTAAGATTATAGAAATTGTTTCTAAGACGTGGAAGATTCATTGGTAAGAAATCAAGTGAAGTCTTCAACCAAATAGGTGAACTGTTTCTATTGAAAACTGTTCCTGAATTGATATTTGCTAACACAGTACTTGTATATCTTGTGGTTTACTTATATCAGATATTCATGATATTCATTTATCATCTAGTGCTAGAGTTCTAGAAATGACAAATATATATATATATATATATATATATATATATGTATATATATATAATAATATATATATATATATATATATATATATATATATATATATATATATATATATATATATATATATATGGGTATGTAAGGTGCACCAATGGGATCACCATTATCACCAGTCATCACTAATCTTTTCATGGAAGAATTCGAATCCAATGCCTTAGAAAAAACTGTTAACAAACCAAAATTATGGCTCAGATACGTTGATGACACCTTTGTGATCTGGCCACATGGAAGAGATAAATTGGAAAACTTCTTAGTACATTTGAACAGCCTCCATCCCAAAATAAAGTTCACCATGGAGATAGAATCAGAAAACCAGTTACCTTTCCTCGATGTATTAATTTATAAAAAATCTGATGGCACCTTAGGACATACCATCTATCAAAAGAAGACACATACGAACCGCTATCTCAACGCCAAATCACACCACCATCCAGCACAAATAAACTCTGTTGCCAAAACATTAACCACAAGAACTAAACGTCTGGCTGATGAAGCACATTTACAAACTGAATTATATACACTAACTAATGTACTGACATCAAATGGGTTCTGTAGAAATAAAGTCATCAATATGATCAAACATACAACACCAAGACAGAATAAAAAACAACAAGAGGAACAAAACAATGGGAAAGCCATCTTGCCCTATATAAGGGGAACAACAGATAAAATTAGCAAAGTACTACAAAAACACAACATCAAAACCATATTTTGCACAGATAGAAAAATATCGTCCATTCTGAGAAACCCCAAAGACAAAATAGAATTAGAAGATCAAGGCATATATGAAATCCCATGTGCTTCCTGCCCATCAACATACATTGGACAGACCAACAGAAGAATGAGTGTGCGCATCGAGGAACACAAAAACTCAATACAAAAGCAAGAACACACATCATCATTAGTTCAACATATAAATACAACAGGACACAACATTAATTTTAATAAAACAAAAACAGTTGCAAAAATAGAACATCTCAATGGCAGGATAATCAGAGAAGCAATAGAAATGGAAAAAAGACCATATTGCATGAATAAACGGGATGACACTTCACGTCTGCCTACTATTTGGAAACCTGCTCTCATAGATAGACGAATCTTGACACCATATGTGGAACATGGACCAAACATTGCACAAAAAAATCCCAACCAAATCATATTCAAACCAGCCACAAAGATAAAGCCCTGCCACCTAGTGGAGAAAAACCGACCATACACCCGAAGCCAAGCCAATAAACACATACTGGGACTCCCAACCAATCAGAATGAAAAGGTGGAGCCATCCCAGAATACCAGCACCAGATTTGAAATTCCAACGTCAGTTAGTGCAAAATGACTACTGGCATAAGCCTGATGATGGCAGATGGGATTCTGCCGAAACGTTGCTTCTACCCTTTTAGGGATATATCCACAATTACACGGGAAGAAACCCGAAATATTAACTATACACACATATATATATATATATACACACACACACACATATATATATACATACATACACAATATACACATATATATATATATATATATATATTTGTGTAAACTGCTTCTTAATTCCATTTGGTGTGATTCAAGCAATAGTTTGAAATGGCTCCTTTTAAAATAACGTTGAAAGCTGCTGCTGAGTTTTAACAATTTAAATATTTACAATAAAGTAATGCTTTTATCTTAGAATGGCAGAGAAGTTTTGCAATATAAAAGTAAAGGATTTTTAGGCAAGGATGTATTGAAATCCTTTTGAAGAACAATGGAATCTCATGAGATTCAGCCTTTTCAAAATTGCAATATTTTGTTTTCTGGCAAGCAACCATATACTAGCAGAATGCTTGTAATCTGCTTACTGGAAAGATTGTTGCTAAGACACTTAGTAGGCAGTTTCTCAACTTGCGCGAAAAAGATTTAAATTCTTTATAGAAGATTTAAATTCTTTATAAATTGTCAGAAAAGCCAGCATGGGTGACTTAGTTTTATTTTTTGCCAACTTAAGAACATTTTTTTCTTTCTCATTTGTAAAGAAAATGGATAATTATTTGGGGCATGTTCTACTATGAAATCTTTTTTTAAAAAAACCCCAATTCTTCCAAAAAATGCAATGTTGAAAATAATGGTTTTTTTAATTGGTAAGAATTGCTAGACATGAAGAAACGATCATGAAAATGAACAAATAGATCAATATGAAATAGTTCTGTTGGTTTGTATCTTGGATAGGACGCCTGTTGACGGCACTCCATGAACCCAGAGAAAAATTAATGTGTATTTAGGAGGTCTATAATAAGATTATTTTCCATATAATTTCAGATAATCATTTGGTAAATCAGGATAAACAAACAAGGATACATGGATGGTACTTGTACGTCACTGCAAAGTGGTATCTTTGCTATGCATATTTATGTCATTTTTAATTCTTCCAGGTATATGGGCCTGGCACTCAAACCAGAGCATTCCAGTATGTCAGGTATACATTTTTATGTTGAATTCAACTCAATCTTCTTATGGCCTTTAGCTAGCCAATGTTAATTGTTTCAAGAAGAGTTTGTGGGAAAGCTTTTTCCACATGCCATAGTTTTGCTATATAACTTTTCAGCACTTTTCCTAAGTAGTTTCATTCATGTGGCCCATTATCTGATAGCACTTTTTAAAAACTATTTGTAGGAATTTGTATGGAGAGAGCATTATAATTACCGTATTTTTCGGCGTATAAGACACACCTTTTCCCAAAAGTGGGTGAAAATCTGGGTGCGTCTTTTACTCTGAATGTAGCCCCGCCCAGCTTCTCAAAGGAGATTTCAGAAGCTGAAAAAAGCATCAGAAACGAAACTTCAGAAAAGAAGCCCCCAAACAGAGCTTCAGAAAAAAAGCCCCCAAATAGAGCTTCATAGGCTTTTTTTCTGAAGCTCTGTTTTGGAGTCTTTCAGAGGCAGGAAAAAAAGTTTTTTCTGAAACTGGGTTTCAGAAGTTTCAGAGGCAGGAAAAAAAGGAAAAAAAAAAACAAGGCACAGATCTCACAACCAGGGAACCTGTTGCTAAAATTCACCTCTGGGGACAGCTGATTGGAGGTATTCCGGGATCCACCTGCCAATCAGCTTTTTTCTTATTTTCCTCCCCAAAAACTAAGGTGCATCTTATGCTCCAAAAAATATGGTATATTTTTTCTAGCTAACTGCCTCAAAACTGAAAGAAAAATAAAGCAGTAATAACTACCAATTCTAAATATTGGAGATGCGCTCACCTCAAAGGCAAGAATTCTGACAAATTAGATCAGTGTTTGTGTTCTAGAACTTCTCATTACCGCTAGCAAGTTGAACTTCCATCTAGCATACGATTAAGTAAACATCTCTTTGTACAGTTTGGGTTGCAGATGTGAAGACTGATAATCATGACTCATCTAAAAATGTTGCATACCAAGAATGCCGTTGGGTGGCTTATCATCTTTCCTGGAACAATCCCAAACTTATAATTCTAGAAAACTCAGCTTAGGAACTTAATAACATTTTAATTTTTAAAAAAGTCATAAAATTACACTGTTTTCTACCCATCAAACCACTGACTAAATATTTCTGAGCACCAACGACATTGGTTCAGTCCTGGTGCAGCTATTTTAAGAGACAGCGATGAGTTGTAAATGTTGAATCTACTTGTCGGGGATGAAGGGGGAAGTTTCTTCCGCTTATGTTTTCTTTTTTTTTTTGTAAATAAGATTTACACTTTTTAGATGCTTTTTCTTTCTTCTCCTTTTTATGTATTTATGTTTTTGTATTTGTTATATCTATTTAACATAATCTTTAATAATGTTAAAAGAAAAGGTCACCGCTGAAAATAATTGTCGTACTGTACATCCTGGCTTTATTCTCTCATTGCAAGGTGCTGCTTTAAATAATTGTTGCAAATAAATAATTATTGTTTTAGATTAAAAAGTTAGAAAGGAGCAAATGAGCCATCTGTCCAAAGAGTTCCAATTATGTATATTTGCTGGCCTAACCTTGGCCCAAGCAGAGGCTTGGTGTTGGGTTAGCCATTCAGGTATTTGTTTGGAGCAGAGTGTGGGAAATTTATCCACCCACGACAGAGTAGAATGTTTATTTAGCAACGCCTTGGCTACATTTAATTCAGCCCAGCCCAGCAGGGATACAATGTCTATTTATACCCACACTATTTTTCTTAATTTTTACAAAATGGGAAAAAGTCAATATAAATTGCTTAGTAATAATCATAAATACACACATACACACAAAATGACTCTTAAGAGGCAAAAGAAGTATTAGAAGCCTCTGGGTTTCCTGTTTTTTTCCTTAAACTATTACTGCCATCTTCTGCTGAATATGTGAATATGCATTTTCTTTGTAGGGAGAGCATTTTTTCAGTTTTAGCCAACATAATGGTGGTTTAACAGTAACCTAAAATAAGCACAATATTTGTGCTAATATTAAAAATTATGTGACTACTTTTGCTGTTCCAAATTCATTTATGCCTATGCATCTACATTTATTGAATTTTGTGGGGGAGAAAAATCACATAGCTTAATTATAAAAAAGAGGAATTCCCCTCCCCCATTTCTTAAGGGGGCTAAGGAACCTAAATTTCTTTCCTTATTCCATAGTTATCCAGAGTGAATTTGCCTATCAATGTTCATTATGCTCTTAATGCCAAAGTTAAATATGACAAGCAGAAATGTTCCAAAGAAGGAGATGAAAATAATCAACAAGGTGACAAAAATCATGCAGTCAGTATCCTTCCCCCTGCTTGCCTGCATCATGGCTGGGCAGGTATTGATTGCATAGATGTGGCCGCCATCTTGAATTCCTGATGCCCATGAACACCTGTGAGGATTACAGTGGAAGAGTCACATTATATTTTGTTTCGAAATTTTCTACTCAGGCAGTTAATAGCAGACTTACAATGAGAGGTAACTGAATATACAGTACATGTTTGTTCCTAGACTCTCTATAAGCTATCCATTTACTTGAGTAAACTACATTTCTGCTCTCTTTAAAGCATGGCTACCAGTGGTGGGTTGCTACCAGTTCTATCCAGATTGACGAACCGGTAGTGGTGGCAGGAGGCTCCGCCCACCCGCACCAGACACTTCTGCGCATGCACAGAAGCATTGCGCACATACGAACACATGTTCATGCACGAGCAAACTGGTTGTGATGGGTTTTGCAACCCAATACTGATGGCTACACATGCTGAACCTTGCCAAAAGTTGTTAGTAAATGTCATTGTGTAATAATTTAATAATCAACATAATTAAGGCCAAAAGAAACAATCCAATTAACTACTTTTAATCTATATAATTCATTTATCTCTTGAATTGGCCACATTGGTGGGCCATGATGTACCACACTCAAAACCAACTCTAGTTTTCAGTCTAATAAAAGTTCCCCACCCCGATTTTAAAGTTTTATCATGTTCTGCACCTAAATCTGACACCCTTATAACTCGTTCATCCCATTGTTTCAATTGGCACATTGTGTCTTTTGTGAAAATTGTTTAGGCGGAAATGTTTTGCTTTGTCCTTTCATGTATATTCAGCGTAAGTTGCTGTGGTTTACTTGCTTTAGCTTCTGTTCATGGGTATCAGCAGAAGCTTCCTGTTTCATCCCAAAGGTGAAGGTCATATGGAACTGCATGTATAAAAGGGATGGGACTTTGTCAGTCTCGGCCCCCTTGACCACTGCCCCCGCCCCATGCCACTGCTTACAGTAAAACTTCCCCCCAAGAGAATATTTTTTCCTCAGCATCAGCACTTTGCAAGGCCATACCATAAATAAATCAGGAAATAACTCTCAGCTCATATTGTCTTATCTTTTTTTTCCAGTGACCTTGTGAATGGGCTCGTGGCCTTAATGAATAGCAACGTTAGCAGTCCTGTTAACTTGGTAAACAAAACACTCTTGTTGTTATAAACCTTAATGGGAAATTGAGTAAAGTAGTATGGAAATAAAATAGCACCTCCAAATTCAGAGTGCATGGAATCAATCTGTGCTGGGACATAGCCTTTTGTATTTTCCTGATCTGAAAATTGCAATAGGCCCATCACCATCATCAGTACCTCTTCCTGCTTCTCATTGTTATTAAAAACACAAACACCACATGAGGACAAACTAGCATGGTGCAGTTTTTCTACTTTAAATGCAGTGAGTTCTATTATATCTGCATTATATCTGCAAATAAGGCCTTTGCAGATCCCTTTTTATAAATACATTTTTAAAATACATTTTTGCATGCAGTGTGCTGCTTTTGTAATTATATTCTTGCCTCATAATATTTCATCTCTCTGAGTTTTTGCTACTAAATCAGAAAGTAACTAAAACCATTGAGGTTCCTGATAGTAAAAATTTCTACTGAACATAGTATGATCTGAGATGTAAAATGCATTTCCTTAGGTTTGACCTCAGGAGTGGTGTGAAAACAATAGGAATTTCTGCTAGAACAAGGATTCCAGTCTTTGGATCATTCTTTTACTTTAGGAATTCCTGTGGTAGATTCCATTCAGGAACAAAGAATTCTGCAATTGGGATGCAATTGTAATTTATTATCTGAGTATTCAGGAAATAACTCTTTATGGAAGATCAAAACCTATATTTTCCTCCTACTTATTGTACTTAAATAATGAATTTGTACTATTGTGCTATATAATACCATTATACTATAACTATTGTACTATTGTACTGTAAACATTATTTTAATAATACTTGTTATATCTCTAGGGGAATCCAGAGGAACATTCTATTCTAGAATTTGCCCAGTTAATTAAAAAGCTTGTGGGTAAGTACATTTAAATTACTTTGTAAAGAAAATATAGAGCTTGGTTATATGTGTCTCCTATTGATTGTTCCACGGAAGGTAATAAATTTAATAAATAAATCAGTTCAAATTATTTAATTTGGAGCTGCTACTAGAAAACCCAATGAAGATGTAATTAACTAAAAAAAAGGAAAGAAAAATTATAGGCCTATAAATACTAAAAATTCTGTGATCCATGTGTACCTTTATGTGTACAATGCATTGTATAGTTTTTGACTTATGATTGGTCACTTAGCAACTCTTCAAAATTATGACAGAGCCCCCAAAAGGTATTTACAACCCAGTTTCAAGGTTCTAATGTCAGCCTCCTGTAGGAGGTGACCAGGCTGAGCCGAAGGGAGTGGTCAAATGAGTCTCTGCGCGCCCACAAGAGATCTAAGTCCAGCCCACCGTGAATGGCTTTCTTAACTCTCACTCATTTTGCTTGACCGCTGATTGGTCAGATTCTTGTAGAGCGCTTAAGCTTGCAATAAATCTTTATACTTATTTGAACTGCCTGAATCTCCTGATTTCCTTGGCGCTTGACATCTCCACAGTTGCATGACCACATTTTAGGTGTTTGGCAATTAGATAGCATTTGCAGCTATTTGCCACACCCTGTGATCATGTGACCATGATTATAGGATAGTTTTGTCGGAAACTGGTGTTTACTTCTGGTTTCTGGCAAAAAACTAGCTCACAGCAAACAATGGTTTCACTTAACAACTGGATCAGTCACATGATGACTCACATTATGAACATCATGACTTACAACTATGATTGCAAGGCTGACTTACAGTTGCAGGTCAAGGACTACCAGTGTTATTATGGAACTTTTGATGCGGGATGCCTTGCAGAAGGATATTATCTCTTTTCAGAAATTGAAATTGTAACAGCAGTCATTCAGCAATATGACTAATTATAAAATGTGTTTACAGGCAGTGGAAGTGAAATCCAGTTTCTGTCAGAAGCCCAAGATGATCCTCAAAAAAGGAAGCCAGATATCAAGAAAGCCAAATTATTGCTTGGTTGGGAACCTGTGGTACGTAATGTTTATCAATGGCATTGTAGTTTCAAAATGTAATATTATTTATTTCATACTATTTAAGGCAAGTTGTTGTGATTTATTCTGTGGTGTGCTTCCTTTTGGGGAAAGAAAAAGAGACATTTTTTAAAAACAGATCCTTTATATAAAGCAAGTTAATTAAACTCAGGAGAAACTCCAAAAGCCAGTCATTTTAACAAAAATACTGAAACAAAATATGTAAATCTCTTATTTCTCCCTTATAAATGTCCAGTTTTTGCTATTTCCAATTTTATCAAATTGGAAAACAAGCAAACTTCCATGAATGTTTCCACAAATTGAGGAGCATAGTTTTAGGAAGCAGGGTTTTAGTACTACAAATAAGCACCACGTATTCTGTAAGCATGGATAATCCTCTCTCTTTCTCTCCGGAACAGGTTCCATTGGAAGAAGGTTTAAATAAAGCAATTCATTATTTTCGGAAAGAACTGGAATATCAAGCAAATAACCAATATATTCCTAAACCAAAACCTGCTAGGATAAAAAAAGGAAGAAGCAGACATAACTAAAAATTCAATTGGACAAGAAATGACATTTCTTACCTTGAATTTGAGAAGATGTCATATGTCTTTTGGTAAAGACTTCAGAACAGGTATCATGAAGAAAAAAAAAACTGGAATTTCACTCTGAAGCTTGCTTTAAAGAAGTGGATGTGCCTCAACAAGAAAACTGCAGTTCTTGCCTTGCACTTTTTAAATCTGTCTTTTTATGTAAAATAGATGCATCCTTTTTTAGTATCTTCAGGTTTTATATCTTGCTGTGAGATCATTTGTTATAACTGTCCTTGACAGTTTTATTTACTGGTTTCTTTGTGAAGCTGCGCATAAGATAAGGGCAGAATTGCCAATTTATTTATAAAATGGGTACTTTAAATGAGAGAGACTATGCATAAAGGAAAAAAAAGTAGCAGTATTGTCAGATGACAAACACTGGCATTTAGAAAATATCTGTACAAGAGTTTTATGTATTCCTTAAACCCCTTCCCCTCCCACACCCAACATTTAGTTCTAGTTGCACACTTGAATTTGAACTATTTCCACTGATAAATGCTATTTTAAATCACTACTGTATTGTGCATACTCTGGGCAAAAGTTAATGTATTATTGGCTACCAGTGGTTGAATATGCTATTTTAATAAAACACTGAACCTTACAGATTTAAGTAAAAGAAAAGTCTGTGGTTGTGGACATATTATTATATAGGTATAGCAGACTGATGTAACATCTGCCTCTGAGTAACTGATTCTTTTAATCAATATTTTGTGAGGTTTTTAGATAGTACATCTTTTGATGAATACAGTTCAATTACAAATAATCCTGTGAAGTTAAATTAAAAATCAAGTAGGACCAGTAGTGGGTTTCAATTTCAGCTGCTACTGGTTCATTCGTGGGTGCGCTTGTGCTCTGACGCTTCTGTGCATGCACAGAAGCTTCTGCTCATGCAGAGACATCCGGGTGGGTGGGCGGAGCCTCCCGCCACTGCCGCTATCGGTTCGCCCAATCCGGGGCAAACTGGTAGCAACCCACCACTGAGTAGGACCATACAGGTAATCCTCAACCTATGATCACAATTGGCATCACAAGTTCCATTGCCTAGCAAGATAGTTGTTAAGTGAACCATGCCCAATTTTACGACCTTTTCTGCCACAGTTGTTAAGGAGATTACTTGCACTCGTTAAGCATACCGTTGATCAGTGGATCCAGTTTCTCCCATTGACTTTGTCAGAAACCGGCTGGGTAGGTCACAAGGGATGATCATATGACCCCGGGATGCTGCAATCATTGTAAACCAATGCAGTAGCCCAATGCCCAGATTTTAATCATGTGACTATGGGGATGCTGTGACTGTTACAAAAGTGGGGACTGCTTGTAAACCACTTTTTTGAATGAGTTGTAATTTCAAATGTTTGCTAAAGGAATGGCTATACGTTGAGGACTACCTGTATGAATAAAATTCAGTGAATGACTTCTGCTCCCGTTTGTGGAATGCAGAATCTTCTGTCTGCTCTCAAAGCCTTGTCTGGGTTGTGAGGGATCTTAAAGAGCACAAATCAAGCTGGGAAGGAGAAAGACAAGGAAATATGGATAACTTCACTTTTCTGTTCTATAATTAAATTAAATTATATTGCTATTTCCAGTAGTAATCCACTTTTACCCAAAAAAAAAAAAAAAAGACGAAGAATTAGGGCCACTTCCACAAAAATGTTAACTAATGTAGAACATCTGGTTACAACCATAATTAGTTCCATAACTTTGGTCGCAAACCTAATTTTGGAACTTAGGCACTTACAAAAAAAATGGCGTGGAATGGGAAATCAGCCATGAAAAAAAAGTGAATTTTTTGGTCGGAACCCGATTTCGTTGTGGTCAGAAGCATTTGTGACCAGAAGTTCTACTGCATTGTTAATATTGACATACCTGTAAGAATCACACATTCCTACAGAAACAACAGCATCCTGTTTTCTTTAAAAGGGAAATGATTTGGAATGTCTTAATCCTATTACAAGTTTTTCATCTTTTAATACTGCAAAAAAATTTGAAATTTGAAATATATGGGAGTGTAGATGGCCAGCCAACTTGTGCTGACTTACAAGAAAGCTACAGTAAGAGTTTATAGTCACCATCACAACAGTGTGAAGAGAGAATTGTGTGTGCTATCTCCAAGCCTTTATAACAATGTTTAATGTAAAACAAGGGAGAGAACTCTTTTTATGACTTGAGAAAACAATTCAGTGTTTTTAAAGGAGCAAAAGTGATAGTTCACAGAGAAGATCATTAGATCTAGCATTTGTCTTGGGGTAGTGGCAACATGATCTGAGGTTGGGAATAGGGAATGTTATCATCAGTTCTTTGTCATGGACAAACCATTCCTTCTGGACACTGGAGTTCTTTATAAGCTGCCCCCACTGCAGGGAAGAGGGTTCTATTGAATTGTTTGGCCTCAAGAAACTGATGGGTTTCAAAGGAAACTTGAGGTTATTCCTGAAGGTGTAACTATGGAGATTCTCAGTCATCCAAGTCATGGTTGTTTCAGAGGTGCTTTTCCCCCCCAAAAAGGGCCACTGGACTATGTTTTTTCCTTGAGGATGAAGATGACATTGGTGCACGGTTCAGCCAGGGCTTTAGTTGCAAACTGAAATGAGCATTTAAGAAGATTGACTCACTACTCTGATTGTGCGGCCTATGTGATTGTGGCTCCTCTAGATCCTTATACTTTGTCAAGGGTCTTCAGGAGATGTAGTGGCACGAGAGCACTGCTGAAGGAATACAAGCAAACAGGCACAGGAAGGAGTCTTTATTAGGGCAAAATAAGCTCACTTCTTCACTCTTATTGTATCTGCATACAGACAACCAGCAGCTTTATTCTAGGTGACTAGACCCCTTCTAGGTAAGGAATGGTCAGGAGAGCTCCTGTAGAGCCCGTCAGATAAAGGTACTTGGCTTTACTGAAGTAAACTTGGCTGGGCAGGTCCTATGGAAATGACTCACTTTGTTAGTTGGGAGAGTTTGAGCCAGTTGATGTTGAGAAAGTAGATAGGGTCCTTGTTTCTATGACCTTGTTATGTATCTGGGCTCTTCTCCCTCCCCAGTTGGTTAAGGCTTCTCAGGAGCTGGCAATGTTTGGGGGAAGATTGTGTTGTGACCCGCCAGCTGCCAGCAGAGTTGGAGACAGACTCAGACGATGAGGTTGGGGAGGAAATTGGGCCAGTTCTGGAGTCTGGGGAAGGCTCTGATGGATGCTCTGTGTCGGACACAGAGATAGAGCCAGAGCTGTTAGACATTTCCCAGCCACCGGAGGGGCAGCTGCCTTTGGAGGCTGATATGAGTGAGGAGGAAGAACAGCTAGGGCCTGTTCCAGATGCATGTATGCGCAGAGCAGTTAGGAGATGTGATCAACAGAGAACAAGGAGTCGATTCGGGAAGCAAAGCACACATGGATGCTGAATGGCCCCTCCCTGGGGAATAAATAGAAGGAAAGGGGAGTGGTTGTCATACAGTTCGTATTTCTGAAGATTTTGCTCATTGTGTTTCATGCCTGAAAGACTGCTTGCCAGAACTTAATTTGCAACCTTTCGGTTTGGAGCTCAAGGCCTTGCAATTATCGCAAGGAACTGATAAGGTCTGTTACTGCAATTAACTCTTTGCCTGGACTATTGTCTGGACATTTCGGTGGTGAATGGAATTAATTCACAAAAGGTAAATAAAGAGGGGTTTTTCGTGACAAGAAGTCTGTTTCTTGCTTCTGCTAAGGCTGACTCAGAAGAGATCGTTGATAAAGTGGTGGGTGTTTAGCATTGGAGAATCCTGGATGAATTATATTATCTAGACCTTTTTCAGTCAGTTTTACAGTACTGACATGGCATTGGTCACATTTGTTGATCTCTGAAAAACTTGGGATGGGGATCCATCCTGGCCCATCTGGATCACTCGGCACCTTTTAGTACCATCAACGAGAGCATCCTTCTGGATTGGATTTGAAGGTTGGAAGTAGAAGTCACTGTTTTGCAGTGTTTTTCACTTCCTGACATTGGTAAAAGAATTTGGGAAGAGAAGTCTTATCTTAAATAGGTGCCTCAAGGCTTGGTTTCTCATCACTTCTATTTAACATCAAATAAAGCCCGTGGGTGAGGTCAGTTGGCAGTAGTGTTTCATCAATATGCAAATGATAATTATACACTTCCACCCCTGACTGGACAGGTAATGATGTTCGGGTGCTGACCCAATGCCTGAAGGCTCTGGATGGGGAAGACCTTACTGCAACTCAACCCTAGCAAGACAGAATAGCTTACCATTTTTGACCCCCTGGGATCCGGAGGGCCATTATCCTTTTAACCTTGAACCTTCAGGCCATGTACCCTGACTCTTCCCCATGATTGGGCTAAGATGGGAGTGGATCCAGAAAAATGCAGAGTTGGTATGGTGATATCATGGCCCTGTGGTGGGTAATAGGATGTTACTGTATGATACTGTTGTTCTTTTTTTTTTATTCGTTGTAAGATGTACATTAATATAAAATAGATGGACATATTAGTCTCAGTAAAGTTAATCTTCATAATGTATTTCACCAGAATACTACGGTAATTAAAATGTTGTATAAAAAAGCTTTAATTTTAAAGCAGATATGTTAAGGAATATATGCAAGACCAATTTTTCTTGGTTTCTTTCCCCAATTCCATCAGCTAAAATTAAGAACCAGATTAAAATCAATTTTAAAAAAATCTTTCTAGTGTCCTTACACAGAGAAGAAAGAATTAATATAGTCAATACAGAGAGGAAAGGGTTAATAACAATAGTTAAGACAGAGAATAATCTTAATAATAATCATCATAATTGACATTTGCTCCATGTCTGAAGGTGTCTGGATTTCGTGGGCCAATAGGAGCATCTTCATCGTAATGATGATGATAATAGCCACCATCATATTCATGGCCATCACGGCCTAGGTTTGACCAGTAGGAGACATAATCTTCAAATTTCTGCAGAAAAAAAAAGTGGGGAAAAAAGGGAAAAAGTGACCATCGATTTGCATTTTATGTTCATAAAAATGCTATGCTTTAGAAGCATTGAAATATATTTTTCTTTCAATATTGATCAGATATTTTCATCCAAAATGGTATAAGTACTATATCCCGTTTTCTGTAATACACCATGGAACATAATCTTCTAATTTAAAAGTTAATTAATTATTTTTGCAACTAAACTATATAGCCAGAAGAAGCCATTAATTCCAAGGTCCAATTTATTTCTCAGTGCAGGAATAAGTGAAGTATCCAAATCAAATAGCTGATTAGAATGTAGAATATATTAGGACATTGAAACTTTGAAAGTTATTGTTCAAATATTGTATGAATCTCAAATCTGTACCTAAAAGACCTAAGTTTATTATGGAAATACAGTAAAATATTTACATTTCAGTGCCTTCTTTCTCCTAGAAATAGGAATTACCATCACATGGATTTAGCGTTTAAACTATTGACTTAAAATAATGTATTTTGACTTTCTAGCTTCTTTAACTTCAGAATGGATTCAAATCAAATAGAGAAAAGCAAACAAAGAGATTATGTATAATAGCAAGCTTTCTGCTCAGAGCTTCAAGCAATTGGTATTTGAGAGGGCTAAAGCATTCATCAGGGAAAAGCGGCTAGCGTTAATCTCCAGAAACAGCTCAGCTGTTTCCTATCTTTAAGTTGGTGTATGATGAGAGAATTCAGAAATATGCCCTTTGCTACTTTTATAGACCACCTATAAAATCTACAACTTTCTGTCCAGCATGATTTTACCGCCTCCTCTTTGAGTTCATGGAGGAGACCCTTGGCAATATCCTCACTTTGGAATCATCATGACCTTATAAAGCAGAGGTGGGGAACTATGGCCCCTTTATGACTTCTGGACTTCAACCCCCAGAATTTCAGAGCCAGCCATGGGAATTCTGGAAGTTGAAGTCCACAAGTCATAAAGGAGTCATAGTTCCCCACCTCTGCTATAAAGTAAAAGGACAGTCAGTAGAACACCCAGATCCGAGGTGGCGCAGTGGTTAGAGTGCAGTACTGCAGCTACTTCAGTTGACTGCTAGTTCAGCAGATCAAATCTCACCGGCTCAAGGTTGACTCAGCCTTCCATCCTTCCGAGGTGGGTAAAATGAGGACCCAGATTGTTGAGGGCAATATGCTATTTAGTATACTGTCTTTGGTGTAAGCCACCCAGAGTCCTTGGAGTGTGCGCGGCATAGAAATAATAATAATAATAATAATAATAATAATAATAATAATAATAATAATAATAATAATAATAATAATAATAATAATAATCCATTAATATAACATCTACTCTTTCTATGAAGAATAAAATAGAACTGTATATAGTTTATGTCAAGAAAAGACAGAAATTCCCAATAAGGTTGCCAAATTCTGCTTAATATTTAACATGAATTGCTTAAAGTGCTTTAAAAATATTAGTACATTTCTTTGTGTGCTTTTATAATTCATTTCGGGTGGAGAATACAAGTAGTCCTTGAGTCATGACCGTAATGGAGCCTGCCCATCACAGTCATAACTCAAGATGACCATAAAGTGGGTTGGTCACGATTTTATAACTTTTTTTGCAGCAATTGCTAAGTGAATCAAAATAGTTCATTAAGCAGATGCCACAGTTGTTAAGCAAACAAATGGTTCCCTTACAATTTTGCTGAAAAGCAGAAGTAAATGCCATATTTTGGCAAACCATTGTGAAATGTGATTATGTGACCATGGGACACAGCTATAAAGGCAGTCTGGTTGCTAAGCAACCAGAGTGTGGTCATGTGACACAGTGGGGATGACCATTGAAACTTTGAGTCCGGGTTGTAACTAGCCTTCCAGATAGGCCAATTAGAACGTCAAACAGTCACTAAGTGCTGGCCATAAGTCGAGGACTACCTATAAAGAGTTGCTGAAAATGTGAATCAAATTTTACCTTGAACTTTGAAACTTGATTCCATTCTATTTAATGAAGTAAAACTACTGGTTCAAATTTTAAGCTATGCTATCAGTGTTTAGCTATATTTTCTGCATACATGACTGCTTATTATAGTATTTTGGCACTTTACAGATGAATATTATGCACATTTTTTTAATAAATTATTTTCCTTTCATGACGATGGTGTGTAAATTATTATAATAACAGTCATTTGGATTTTTAAAAGTGTTTATTTTTTACTCTGCTTTATGGATTACCTGATCAATTTTGTGAATATTTTTGATACCAGCTTAAAATACAACAGCATCCTGGCTTGATTAGTTGTTCACCAACATTTATCAGGTGAAACTATAGTTAACTAGCTTGTTTCTCTGCTTGAATGACAGAAACAATAAAGTGATCGTGTGATCACAGTTTATCTATATCTTGTTTACACATTACTATTGGAAATCTGACATATTTTATTTTATCAAGGCCTCATCTCATTTTATACTCACAGCAGCCCTGACAGTAGCAAATGTGGCTAATATAAATAGCAATGACATGAAAATGACCCAAAAATTTATACAGGTAGTCTTGGACCATTCATTTAGTTACCATTCGAAATTATAATGGCACTCAAAAAAGTGACTTAAGACCATTGTAGCATCCCCATGGTCATGTGATCAAAATTCAGATGCGTGGCAACTGGCATGTATTTATGACGGTTGCAGTGTCCCGGGGTCATGTGATCACCTTTTCCAAACTTCTGATAAGCAAAGTCAATGGGGAAGCCAGATTCACTTAACAACCATGTGACTAATTTTAACAACTGAAGTGATTCACTTAACAGGGCAAAAAAAGTCATAAATGGGACAATAATCACTTAACTCTCTTCCTTAGCAAAAGAAATTTTGGACCCAATTGTGGTTGTAAGTTGAGGACTACCTATATTTGAATCCCAATGCAAGTGTAATCCCAGTGCAAGGCATTAAAGGTGTTTTTTTTTTTTAATTTGATTTAAATGCCGCCCTTCTCCGGAGACTCAGGGTGGCTTACAATGTATAAAGGCTAGCAATAGCCTTCATACTTTTGTATATTTATACAAAATCAGCTTATTGCCCCCACAATCCGGGTCCTCATTTTACCTACCTTAGAAAGGATGGAAGGCTGAGTCAACCTTGAACCTGGTGACATTTGAACTTGCAGTAATTGCAGGCAGCTGATGTTAATAACAGTGCTTTAGTCTGCTGCGCCACCAGGGCTCCTCACCAGGGGTGGGGTTTAGTGTTCCCCCCCCTCCCCCATTTCCGTTTTCAGGGGCCTACAGTGAGTAGGTTGGATCTTCTACTTCTAATGGTCTTTGGGGCCAATGAACACTTGAACCTGTCTTTCCTCTATTAAAACTCAGCGCTCTAATTACTATGACAAACATTTTTCTGGGTAATACATGACTTCCATTTTAATAAGTACCACCAATTCTCATTCAAAATCCTATCAAATGAAATTGTTTTCTATAGAAATATTTAGAACAAAAAAGGCTTTGCTTCTCAAACATTCCTGCAATGGGGAAAATGTCATAAAGAGTGAATCAAGGGCAAAAAGGCCCTGAATAATTGAAAGATTACCGTATCTCATTCACTTCTTTTGCATTAAGTATTTATTGTATTGTTTTAAAAAAACATGCTGATTGGAAAGTGAATTTATATCTAGGATTCAACCTCTATCAGTTTTCCAGTGTTCTTTAGAAGTAACTTTTACTGTATTTATTTTCAGAAATAAAGAAAATATATTAGTATTTTATTAATTATATATTTATATATATATATATATATATATATATATATATATATATATATATATATATATATATATATATATATATATATATATATATATAATAAATTATATATATATATATATATTATATTAGTATTAGTATAAATAAACAAAAATTAAAGAGCTCGAACATGGTTTTTCAAATTCTGAAGTATTGAAACCGCCTGATGTACATTCAAATAAACATCAATTTGCAGTCTCTTCAGTTTATAATAAATAGTTCATCCAATAAGACTTCACTGTACTTTTCCTTATTCCTTTCTATTCTCAATTTAGCATGTGACTTCCTAACAAATTGGTATCAAAGCCATTCTCATTCATGTTTTTTTTTGTATGTCTCCTTTGCCTTTTCCTTCCAAAAACAACTATATCTTAGATTCAAATAACACATGCACACTAACTATATGCAGAAATTAAAGTGGTTTGATTTGACAGGTAAAATGCCTGCATGAAAAATTGATTCATTAACTTCCCATGCTGAAAAGTATTGGAATTCCATTTCTAGGGCAATTCTTGACCACAGGGATGAAGGAGGACATAATATATAATTCCAGGTTTTTGTTTGCAGTATGAAATACTTTATCCATGATACAAATGTGTTTTATTTGCATGCCCCATTTATGCCTCAGTAAAACCATGTTTTCTGTGCATTCATAGCACTATAGCAATAGCACTTAGACTTATATACCACTTCATAGTGCTTTACAGCCCTCTCTAAGCGGGTTTACAGAGTTAGCATATTGCCCCCAACAATCTGGGTCCTTATTTTACCTACCTTGGAAAGATGGAAGGCTGAGTCAACCTTGAGCCTGGTGAGATTCATTTCATTTCATTTTTTCATTTTATTAGATTTCTATAACTGCTGGCAGCTGGTGATCAGCAGAAGTAGCCTGCAGTTCTGCACTCTTAAATAACCACTGCGCCACCACGGCTCTTCATGTCATTAAATAACTGCTTTTTCCCAGAAAAACTTTGTCAGAAGTTAGAGCCATGGTGGCACAGCAATTAGAGTGCAATATTGCAGGTTCCTTCTGCTGACTGCCAGCTGACTGCAATTTGGCAGTTCAAATCTCACCAGGCTCAGGATGGAAGGTTGACTCAGCCTTCCATCCTTCCGAGGTCGGTAAAATAAGGACCCAGATTGTTGGAGGCAATATGCTGACTTTGTAAACCACTTAGAGAGAGGACTGTTAAGCACTGTAAAGCGGTATATAAATCTAAGTGCTATTGCTATTAAATTAGTTCAAATAGATGCCTGAAACAGTTATCAAGCTTGACCTGCTGTGACCATTATTAAGAATTCACCTTCTCAAATTCATTTATAACAAGGGGAATGATTTCGCTTATAAAGAAGGCAGGTTTCCCATATCTACTGTAATGAATATAATTATAAGATTCAAACTAAATTGAATTCCTTTCCATATCTATAATATAAATGTGAAGCTTATTTAGAAGAAAATAAAACATTAGGCAATTATCCTGAATCCAACACGATTTTCACAGTGCTAATTCAGATCACTGAACTACATTATTGAAAGTTAAAACAACTATGCCACTTACAGCTTCATCAAAACCCAAATAGAGAAAGTGTTGGTACCACTGCTGTACGTCAGGCTGACTTCTGTCCCAAAGCTGCCGCTTCTGACGTTTCAAATTGTTTAAGAATTCCTTGGCCTTATCTTCTTTAACAGACATCTCTTCCTTCATCAGAACAGGGGCTGAAGCAAAAATTGAAAACACCAAATCTATATGTTGACTACATTCAACTCAGTTGAATACTCAGTACAAGAGATGAAGAAAATGCCACTGTTAAAAAGTAAAATATCCTATGTTATCAGCACAACACAGTCCCTGAATAAAAAATAAATTCTTAAAGTACTCTTTTTTTTCACATGAGGTCTGTGATGATGGCCTAAAATCATAGGGCTGAAAGGGTCTTGTAGTACAACCCCCTGCCCAAGCCTGGAATCCTTATACAATCCCAGACAAATGGTTGTCCAATCTTTCTTGAAAATCTCCAGTGATGCCTTTGGGAGGCAAGCTGTTGCATTAACTAACTGTTTTCACTGTCAGGAAATTTCTCCTTAGTTCCAGGTTGAATCTCCCTTTGATGAGCTTCCACCCATTGCTCTGCATCTTTCCCTTAGGTGCTATGGAAAATAAATTGACCTCTTCCCTGTGACAGCCCTTCAAATATTGGAAGATAGCTATCATGTCTCCCCTACGCCTTCTGTTTGTTAGGCTACACGTACCTATTTCTCTCAATCGATTATCGTACATTTAGCCTCTAGACTCCTTATCATCTTTGTTACTGTTCTCTGCACTCTTTTTAGGGCATCAGCTTTTTTTTTTTTTTCTGGTATTGTGGTAACTAGAACTGGCTGAAGAATTCCAAGTGTGGCCTCACTAGTGCACTATCCAGAGATGGGATAGTGCACTGGTGCACTATCCAGAGGTGGGATTCACTTACCTTCCCTATCGGTTCGCAAATGTGAGCATGTGCTTTCTGTATTGTTACAGAAACAGAGTCTTGAAAGCTTGTCACAGATTCTCTTTGCCCCATCTTACAGGTAGTCTTTGACTTACAGCAATTGCTTAGTGATAATTTAAAAGTATAAGGGACCTTGTTAGGGGTATTTACAACTTGATTCCAATGTTTCAACAGTTGCCCACCCCCTTACATTTAAAGCTGTTTCCAGCATCCCATGACTGCATTTTATGACTTTTTGATAAAAACCAAGATTTTCTGCCCATAGTGAAAAATTTGCCTTATAAATGCAGTGTTCATTTTACAACCACCACAAAAAAAGTTTGTACAATCATATCGGTCACATGGGTGACCCATTTTAAGACCATCAAAACATATGACTGTAATAGACAGGTTCCATTATGGTCATAAATCAACAATGACCTATACCCCAAACAAAATCAAGGTGAGTTGTTATGAGTTTCTTTCTGCACTTTCTATTTGGGCAGGACTGTATTTCAGTTTCTCCCAGTTTAAGGCTCACTGCTCTCATCAGATCTTGGTGTTCATGAAGCTTGGGTTTCTTTTTGCAAATGTTTTATTATCAAAGTAGGTAACATTGCCAATGTTTTGATGCAAGGAAGTGATATTTGTTGGCTTTTTATGCATGGCAGATTGTCCATATGTCTTCAGCAGGATTGTTATAGTTTGTGAGCTTGTTTCTGACTGATCTACTGTGCTGGATTATTTCATTTTAGGTTGTTCCTGGCTATTGTCTTGGCTCTTTCTTATCTACATCTTGATTTGCTAGATGCAGCACTGATGATGTTGCCTTGTTTGGCCATGAAACATTTTCAAGAGGAAAAAAACATGAGTAGTGAACACTAACATTCCAAATCCCAACCCGCAGCCACAAATATTCTTCAAAATTGTTCATTACTCTCATCTCAAGACCAGATCTATAGCTTATATGAAAGCAAACCATTGAAAGTGTTCTAAAGCCATACTCACCATTCTGCAAAGTTTAGGCTGCTATAGTCTTTTGTTAGCTTAGTCATTCATGGGTAGCTTTGCATTTATTCTGAAAGGCTCTCTCTCTAATTTGACTCAACTAAAATAACAGGATGGACATTACTGATTTCCCAACTTTTTCTTTCTTTCTTTCTTTCTTTCTTTCTTTCTTTCTTTCTTTCTTTCTTTCTTTCTTTCTTTCCCCCCCCCTCTCTCTCTCTCCCCCCCCCACACACACTCCTTTTTAATTTGAGTCAACTAAAATAACGGGAGAGTTCTACAGAAAATACATGCCAGGGATTTTTTTTACCCAAGTCACTGTCTCTTAAATTACAGGGAAGAAATTGGACAGGTTGAATATGTAGTTCTCTATTTTTAATTATTTTTCCAACTAACGTGTAAGAAAATCTATGTATCTTAAGACAGGCTTACCTTCTCTTTTCTGAAGCATCAGCCTAAATTTATTTGCCTTTGAAACACCTGAAGAAAAGCAAAATTAAGTAGTTAAGTGTATAAATAATGCACATTTTTCCTATGCAATGTTACTTTTTAGACAGGAAATTATGTGAGTGATGAACACAAATAATTTTCCTTCTCTGTGCTCAGTACAAATAATGTTCCAGTACTTAAACTATGGTGTTTTAAGTGCATTTCCAACAAACATCAATGAATAAAACTACATAACTAATATTTAAAGAAGCTTGTCTATTTCAGGAATAGACATATTTGAGAATAACATGTTTAGATTCATGCCGTATGTTACACTACTAAGGAATGCGTTTCTAGAGCTGTACATGCACAAAAATGTTGGCATTAACTTGAAAAAATAGTAAACAATGGCACTGTTTCTTAAGAAAGAAAGGAAAGAGTAAAGAATCAACCACCATGAGCCCTCTTTATAAACAAGCAATTCTCCCTAAATCATTGGGGTAGGGCAGGTGGCCTACAATGGCAACTTTGGACCTGTGGACTTCAAGTCCCAGAATTCCTGAGCCAGCCATGCTGAAGTCTACAGGTCATAAAGTTGCCCTTGTTGCTCATCCCTGGGCTCCAGGTAAAAAAGCCGAAAACAAGTATTTAAAAAGGCAAAAACAAGAGCTGATGAGTCCAGGCAAAATCCTTTTTTATTACTCAATACCAATGTTCATAAATCTGGGGCCTTCAAGAGCTGTTCAATTGTAATTCCATTATGCATGCTCTCCCCATCATCCAGCAGGACAGAGCCGAGAGGCTCCAGACCAGTGTTTTCAAAACTTGGCCACGTTAAGATGTATGGATTTCAACTCCCAGAATTCCCCAGCCAGCATAGGGAATTCTGGGAGTTGAAGTCTGCATATCTTAAATGACCAAGTTTGAGAAACACTGATCTGTATGGAAGGCACGCATTATCTTCTTTCACTGACCTCTATATTCTATCACAGTGGTGAAATTCAAATTTTTTACTAACAGTTCTGTGGGCGTGGCTTGGTGGACATAGCAGGGAAGGATACTGCAAAATCTCCATTCCCACCCCACTCTGGGACCAGCCAGAAGTGGTATTTGGCGGTTCTCCAAACTACTCAAAATTTCCTGGAGAACCAGCAACGGAAATTTTGAGTAGTTCAAAAGTTCAAAGTAGTTCTCTGGGGCCAGCCCAGAGAACTCTGGGCTGGCCCCAGAGCGGGGTGGGAATGGAGATTTTGCAATATCCTTCCCCCAGAAGTGGGAAGGGAATGGGGATTTTGCAGTATCCTTCCCCTGCCATGCCCACCAAGTCACACCCACACCCACCTGTGGGTGGGCATGCCTGCCACTGCCACACCCACCAAGCCACGTAAATAGTAAAAAAAAAAATTGTATTTCACCACTGGAACAGCCACTATTCCAGGGGACTCCAACAGCTTTGCTGGCTGAGGAATTCTAGGAGTTGAAGTCCACAAGTCTTAAAGTTGCCAAGGTTGGAGACTCCTCCTCTATTCAACAACGGGAGCGCGGGTGTCTCCTACGTTAAGCGCCTCCTTTTTCGCCAGTCGCTCACCCTCCCCTTCCCGAGCACGCACAGTCTGCCCGCCACGCCTGCTCGGCTGACTCACCCGGGCCCGGGCAGAGAAGGAGGAGGAGAAGGAGCCCCACCAGCGCAGCCAAAGGCAGAGTTGCCCGTTGGGACCAAGCGCGGCTCGGCAGCGGCATCCCGGCGGGTCCTCAAAGAGGAGCTTTTTGTCCCACGCTGCTGCACGGTCCTTCGGGCACCTGCAGGGGGGAAAAAGTGCGCGCGCGAGTCGGCGAAGTTGAGTGGGAAGAAAGCGGCGGGAAGAGTCCGGGTCCTTTCTCAGCCGACCCCCCCTCCCCCTCTCGTTATCCCGCTGTCCCCTCGCTGGCTGGAAGGACGGGAAGGGGGTTCCGGATCTGGAGCGGAGTGGAAATCGCCTTGGAACGGGAGCAACGTGGCTTGCCAGGTTTCCAAAGGCAAACCTCTTCGGCGCCGGAAAAGTCTCCTGGCTACAATTCCAACCATTCCGGTAGCACATCCGAGATGGCGGTTCCAGCCTCAATTAACTGTACATCGGTAAAACATCCGCAGGGTGGGGGGACTGTGGAGCTACACAGCAGTTGCTAAATGTGCTCCAAAAGCAGTTGAAAAACTCTCGAGGTTTCCCCATCTTTCCGGCTCATCTCTCTTGCTGCCAAACCGCATTCACAAAATGCAAGAATGCACACACACACACACACAGGAACTTAACTCTATTCAGTGACAGTAGATTGTATTAGCATTCCCTGACCGGGTTCCCTCACCCCGGTAGCCCATCATCCCCTGCCAGCATGGGGGGGGGGGAGGGAGGCATCCACGGGGCAATTAAAAGTTAACTTTTAACTTTTTGAAGTTAAAATTGAAATAAAATTTAAGATTGAAGCACACACCCCCTTTTTTGGGGGGGTGAGATGTTATGTGTGTGTGAGGAAACTTAAAAAGTGCTTAGGCTTCAATTGTTTAATTTCTCCTCTCCACTTCAGACATTGGCTACCATTGTAAGTCCCCCCCCCACTTCCCATCCATAACTATATTGGTTAGAAATTTATCAGGATCAAAGCCCAAGGCAGTAGGTGGATATCAGACAACCCCTCATATAGGAAATGCTGCTTACTTTTAACAGATTAACAGAGTTGGAAGAGAACTTGGAGGTCATCTAGTCCAACCCCCCACCCAAATTACTTTTAACAGATTAAACAGAGAACCTGGAGGTCATCTAGTCCAACCCCCAAGCAGGAGACCCTACACCATTTCTGACAGATCACAGTCCAATCTCTTGAAAGTCTCCAGTGAGGAAGCTCCAACAACTTCAGAAGGCAAGCGGTTCCATTGGTTGATTGTTCTCACTCTCAGAAAATTTCTCCTTATTTCTAGGTTGAATCTCTTCTTGATCAGTTTCCATCCATTATTCCTTGTCTGGCCTTCAGGTGCCTTGGAAAATAGCTTGACCCCTTCCACTCTTGGGCAGCCCCGTAAATATTGGAACACTGCTATCATGTCTCCCCTGGTCCTTCTCTTCGCTAGAGTAGCCATGCCCAGTTCCTGTAACTGTTCCTCATTTGTTTTAGATTGAAAGATCCACCAAAAATACAAGCTAGTATACTTGCATGTTTTCTTCATGCCACCTTAAGCTATTTTACTTCTAATTGCTACTAATTAGTTTCAACTTGTCTACGGACTATTCTTAGATAAGTGGATCCCTCTGCTATTTTACTGCTTCCATCCATCCTGAGAAAGTAAGTACCCAGCACTTCAAGGGCAATCCTGCTGTCAAGAAATTGCTTTTCCAATAGAAAAAGGTCAGAAAAACTGAGGGTTCTTCAGTCCATGGAGAACACAGGGCTTCACTTCTAGTCCATTCAGTTTCTAGGTCATTCAATGCCTCAAGTACAAAAATTACGCTAGCGCTAGTGTTGAATTTGTTCAGTAAAACATAAGCTGGGAATGCTACCCTATGAAATAGTGGACTTCTTGGTACTCTCTGAACTAGATTGCTTTCTTGTAGATGTTTTATTATCCAGCTAGGTAACATCCTCAGTGCAACAGAAAGTGGGGTTGTAGATGTTGACCAACCCAAGAACTCAACAGTTCAACCCAAACATAATATATATTTCCTTCTATTGAAACAACAAATAGTTCTCCCATTAAATAATAGGATTATCAAGGATTATCCCTTTCAGCAGTGGATTCACTAATACCTGGAAAAGTTATATTCCCATTATTTTACAGTGCACCCAAAAAAACATCTAAACACTATTAACCAATTACTTTCAAAATAAGACAACCAGGAATCTCTCATTCAGAAATATTCATTTTTACTTCTGATAAAAACAAAACAGATGATCCTTTGTCAAAAAAGTTGCTGGCTGGGAATTTCTGGAAGTTGAAGTCCACAAGGCTTAAAAGGTGCCAAAATTGGATACCCCTGTTTTATAAGTTACACCAGTATTTCTCAACCTTGGCAGCTCTAAGTTATGTGGACTTCAATTCCCAGAATTGCTAGCTGGGGAATTCTGGGAATCGAAGTCCGCACATCTTAAATTTGTTGAGATTGAGAAACACTGATTTAGAGATATGAATGCATTATGGTAGCACTTTTCTTTCTACTGTCCTTTCCTCGCCAAATTGAAACTCATCAGACATCTTACCAGACCTTACTGCATTATGATTGAGCAGAGCTTTTTCATTGAATAGGAGGGGCAATCCAAATGAGATATGCAGTCCCTGGCACCATTTGCAACACCTGAATTCTGGCACCATGATTTTTGCAAAAGTCTCTGGAATCTCATCCAGGTCATGGTTTTCCCAAAGGGTGCTTTTTCAGGAGGCAACTGGAATTTTTTGTTTTTTTTTCTTTTTAAGACGTTTCACTTCTCATCCAAGAAGCCTGTCAGCTGAAGAAGCTTCTTGGATGAGAAGTGAAACATCTTCAAAAGAAAAAAACAAGGAAGTCCAGTTGCCTCCTGAATAAGCACCTTTGGAACATGATTTTGGCAGTTTCTTGTTGCTTAGAAGGAATTATCTCCCAAATCCCCATAGTACCCTAATTCCTATAGCAAACACCAAAGAGATGAAAATCCATTTCAGTCTGTTCAAGTGCCATGATGACAGCCTGTTATAATCCTCCAGAAGATTGAGAGGCTGGGATCAGGCCTCTTTTTACTCAAAATAGTATCTTTCTCCCTTGTAGCATGACTGGAAAAGCTATCGCACCTTCAGATATGTTTTGGCCTTTGCAATCTTTTCTTGTGGATTTCAATTTACCAGAGAAAGAATGGTAGAAAAGATACAGAAGTTAAAAACTTTCTTATTAAGCTGGGTCAATTCCAATATACTCTTTGGCAGGGTAGGATAAAGGAAATGCTTACTAGATATTTACATCTACAACTATGGCTTATATAACAGTTTCCAAATGTGGAGCTAGATGGCAACAGAGTTCCCTTAGGCTTCTGAAGTTACGTTGTGAGTTTTTCTTGACTGCAATGCATTTCATCAGCTGCAAGGAAGTATTGTTTTAAGATATTAATTAATTTATTCCTATGGTTAAAGAATGGAAAGCTAAAAGTAAAATATAAGTCATGGCTTAATTTGATAAACTTAATTAGCAATAGGGTTGTGACCATTTTGTGAGCAAGTTTATTTACCTGTCTATCTTCGTCAGTTGGTTTGACCTGGTTTACTGGAGATAGTAGGTGAGAGGAAAATGTAAAACTGCATTAAGAAATCTTATTTCTAATTTGAGAAACAATGATCCCCATTCCACCACCCACATGCCTCATGCGACAGCAGCTAGGAAGACATAATGGAGTCAGCGTAGCGCCAGAAACCAATAAGCTACCTTATTGCCCTACTCCAAATCCTCAAGTGGAAAAGAAAGCTATTTTTTACTTTCTGAATGTTAAAAATCAGAAGAAGGCCTCTGGGGGTAGCTTTTCTGACTAACAAATTTTATTAAAAGTCATACATTTTTGTGAGCTGTAGGATTAAACTTGTTCTGCATTTAAGAAGATAAGACAATGGTAAAGGAAGAAATGGTGGTGATTCAGATGCAGTTTACATGTTAGACAGATTAGAAGTAGTTGATGGATTAGCAATTCTAAAGTGTTATATTTCTGAATTTTGCTCTATCAATTAATCCATCAGAAAAAAATGCCATTTTACAGTTTGGCAGAATCTCTTTGAGAGCCTACTGTAGAATACATCTTTAATTAGACTCTGGAAACCAGGTTAAGATCATTATTTCCAGGTATGCTCTCTCAGTCCTATCCACCTTACAGGATTGTTTCTGTAGGAAAAATGAGAGGAAGGATGCTATGTAAACTACTTGGTGCTCCTGAATGAGAAGCCAAACCAAAACCTAACTAATGAATAAATCAATCAATAATCCACACATCTCTGAAGGTTTCCAATATAGGAGCAGTCATGTCCATCCATGAAACAGTTTAATAATCATGGTAATACTTTGATTGGGTCAATCAAAATAGCCGAAAAAGATGTACAAGCTGTTGAGTACCCCAGAATTTTTCATCAGGCAAAATGGCACAAAAAATAGGGAAATGAAAAGAAACAAGGAAACGCAAAAAGCAAGCAAAGTGTTTTATCCTTGAGACCTGTAAGGTCACAGTCAGTCTTCCTAACGAAGTTTGTAAACTCTTTTCTACTATTTGTGTTAGTTCTAATAACCACACAACTCTGGCAGCCTATTCTCATGGGCCTCAATTTTAAGCATATAAAATCCACTATTTATATATCATTCTTTATTTTTTTTAATAATCTTCCAATAATTGCATGATGAAATACTTATAAAGCTGTATTTGCAGATAAATCTAAAGGCAGATTCAGAATGCAAATTATAAGCCTTTTTGCCAGCATTTTATTTGTCCCCGGTGTATTCATTTGTCATTTAAAATATATACTTCTTAGGGCCCTGAATAAGATGGTTCATTTATTTATTTTTTTGCCATAAAATTACTGCTAAAGCATATTATGAAGAATAAAACCAAAGTCAGCATTAAATCCATGAATCAAGCAAATAATATAAGTAACAGCAAGAAAAGAACTATTATGTTATGACCCAAATATGTCAGAAACAAATCAGTCCTTGAACACCAAAATAAACACATTTAATCTATTTTCTAACTGCAAAGAGATTGTAGCAGCCTTTTTCTGGGTAATTTCATCAGACAAATGTTATTGAGGAGTCCAGTTTCAGGATCTGAGCCCCATGCTCCTTTTTGGTGGATGTGTATATGCAAATTGGTTTAATGCTTTCTGTGCCCTCATTGGGGAGAAGAGTTCATATATGGCGCCATCTAATTAACCCTGCTTTAATATTCTTTCGTTCTGCAAGGGGGCAGTAAATGCCTCATATTCCCCTTAGGATGCATTGTCTCCTTCTAAAATGGAAGTTTTACTTAATAAAGCATTTGTGAAGCTGCATTAAGCTTTAAGCCTAATACACAAAGCAAGCGAAGCCTGAGCTAGGTAATTGTCTGGAAAATGATAGCTTTCTACGAAACAGCACTTCCAATCTTGGGCTCTCCTGACTAGTCGTAATGCAGATGCAGAAATGAATGCCAGGCGAAAACCGGCTTATAACTAGGGATTTTATTTTAATAGTTAAAGAATCGGAATCAAGAATGCTACCACAATGATGTGAATAGAAGCACCAAAGGAAGATTAATTCTGTGGTTGAATTGAGCCAGATTCTTTTCCTAAACTAAATATTTCCATAGAAGAATTTTCTGCTGCTGATTAGCACATATGTTCATGTCAAGGGTGTGATAACATGCAATGTGCAATTATATTTGGTAAGGATAATTACTGTAAATTAGAAGCACTAGAATGGAAAGCTCAAGGGCCTTTTTTCTTTTTGGAAAAGTGTTCATCTTCTTGTGAGCATCCCTTTAATAGGGTTACAATCTGAAGTGAATTTATACAGCCAAGAGTTTAGGGCAGGCAGAGAACAGAGTTCAAAATAAAACCTGTTTAAAACATAAGAATAAAAACACAATGCAGTATAAGAATGTTCCAATTGGTGATAAATTCCTCTGTGGGCAGCATGTGACTAACTTTACTGGCAGTATAAGAGAATTTGGCTACAAGCAAGGAAAGTAAATCATTACTGAAAATAATAAAAAAAGGAAAGCCTTTAAAATATTCCCATTCGGTTTGACTCAGGAAGATTGTTGATAGAATTTCTAAAAGATTTTTTTCCTGACAGATACCATATTTTTTCCAGCTTTAATTAACTGTATAGTGGGTTAGAGTGATTCTGAAATAAGGGTAAGCCTACATTTAAGTAAACACCAGTCAACACAATGGAAAAAACCCAGTGTAACAGTATGAAAGGTTTCCCTAGAACTAGAGCAGGGGTATCAAACTCAAGACCCGGGGCCGGATCCAGACTGCGGAGTGCTTAGATCTGGCCTGGAAACAGCAAAGGACTGGCCCGCAGTGTCTCTGCCAGTGAAAATAGAGCTTGGGTGGGCTCCATTTTCCCTGGCATAGGGTTGCAGGAAGCTGTCGCAGGAGGCTGTCGCAGGCAAAAATGGAGCTCAGGAGCCCGTTTTCTCTGACAGATCATTCAGGCCACCACAGGTGTCCCCAACATGAGTAACAGCGAGCTATCTACGCCCACCTTGTCCACGCCCACTCCGGCCCCCAAGGTCAAAAACAACCCTGATGTGGCCCTCAATGAAATAAGAGTTTGACATCCCTAACCTAGAGAGTCTGTATGGGTTTTTTTATATAAGCCATTTAGTGGTGTTCATTTTTTATTTTTAGTCCCCAATTGGAATTTTCTCTAGCAAACTTGACTGTGATTCTAAATGTGTGATGCTCATTTCCTTTTTTGATCCATTCTGGACTTCTAGAGCTGCCCTTGATACAGAAAATATTTTCCTATTAGCAATTTTATCGCCTTGCCTTAAGACTTCAGAGTGGCCCCAGTCATCAGCAGACAGAAAAACATTGTGGCAAATGGGACAATAATGTGAAGAATAGACATGAATAGATGTGAGAATAATATGAGAATAACCAGCATTCTCTGTTGGCTGTATTATGGGGGGGTGCTTTTTAGGTAGAGTAAAGCACAATGGAGATGTCTGCATATAAAAAAAAGTTTTTGACTTCTCCCACAAAGATAAAAGTGATTTTGATGTAGATATAAATTACACACCAACTCCCAATTTATATGGCTGCCTATCTCAAATGCATAACTATACAGCTAGCAACAATTAAAACGGATACATAAAAGAATACAAAGAATATAAAAATCATTTTAAAAAAATTAAAAACAAACAAACAAACACAATCACCGGTACAAAACTCACCAACAATCAACATGACCCTGCATGGGCTCCTGTCCACTTCCAGAATCCAAGCCTGCTCTCAGAACCAGGTTTTTTAAGTCTTCACTAAAGGCCAAGAAGGGAATCAGTGGCTAAGATGCTGAGCTTGTCGGCAGTTCAGCTGTTCACATCCCTAGTGCTGCTTAACGGGGTGAGCTCCAATTACTTGTCCCAGCTTCTGCCAATCTAGCAGTTCAAAAGCACGTAAAAAATACAAGTAGAAAAATAGGACCACCTTTGGTGGGAAAGTAACAGCGTTCCGTGCGCCTTTGGCATTTAGTCATGCCGGCCATATGACCACGGAGATGTCTTCGGACAGCGCTGGCTCTTCGGCTTTGAAACGGAGATGAGCACCGCCCCCTAGAGTTGGGAACGACTAGAACATATATGCAAGGGGAACCTTTACCTTTTAAAGGCCAAGTGGGCCAGGGCCAGTCTAACGTCGGGAAATTATATTCCAAAGAGTGAGCACTCATGACTGAAAAGGTGCTCTACCAGATAATATTCCATTACAGGCAGGATCCAGAACATCTACATATATATTAACAAACTTTCTACCAAGTGCCAAAAAGTGAAGTTTGGAATCAGTTGTGTGACTTTGACAAAAATTAACTAACTTTGCAAGGCCCTTAGAGCTTCCAGGCAAAAGAAAAGCCAAAGCAGCTTTTAATTATTAATTTTCCCCTTTGTCTTTAGATAGCTAACTTCACAGTTTTCCCATTCTTAGAATAGATAAGGAGAAAAATATATTATTACAGGTAGTCCTCCACTTACAACAGTTCATTTAGTGACTGTTCGAAGTTACAACAGCACTGAAAAAGTGCCTTATGACCATTATTCGCAGTTATGACCATTGCAACATCCCCATGGTCATGTGATTTACATTCGGATGCTTGACAGTTGGTTCATATTTATGACGGTTGCAGTGTCCCAGGATCACGTGATCCCCTTTTGCGACCTGACCACCAAAGTCAATGGGGAAGCCAGATTTATTTAACAACCATGTTACTAATATAACAACCACAGTTAACAAATGTGGCAAGAAAAGTCATAAAATGGAGCAAAATGTGTAACAAATTCCTCACTTAGCAACCTAAATTATGGGCACAATTGTGATCATTTACTACAAGTAGCAAATCGTAACACTATTCAACAAATTATGAATGATCACTATTTTCATTCCTTCTTAGTAAGGGGGTACGTCCTACATACATGGATAGGCTTCTAAGGGCAACTGAAAGAGCAGAAGTATGCCCATCCATCTTCACAATATTCCATTTATTTATTAAAGAGAGTAAGATAATGCCTCCACCACCATCTTTCCAGTCTAAAAAAGCCACTGCTAAGAGAAGCTCTTTTTTGATAGATGAACATGAGACCCAATTGTCCTATAGAAACAAGGAAGATTTATGAAACTGAATGTGCAAGTCACATTTTTTTCTTAGGATTGCTTTAATCTACACATTAATCTATTTTACCTATTGTCCTTCCTTATGGCAGGACTTATTGGATGAATAGTGCCTGTAGTATTTAGATGATATAAGAAGAAATATAAGTACAAAATTTTTCATAAATCATTATTTCTCACACATGCCCCTTGTCATCCATTTGCTGTTTCAGATGGCAGTTCTGATGAATGATTTCATTCCATTTTATGTTCATCCATTTTTATACATTGTCAGTAATAAAAAGGAATACATATTAGTCTTGTTTATATAAAATAAAATAAACAGACTAGAGACCTGATCTCAGAACTCAGAAATCTGTTGGATTTTTTAGATTCAGGTTTGCTGAGCTCTTGAGTGAAAGTTATTCTTTGGAGATTGTATATTGTTAAATGTAACAAAATAGAATATCAGATTTGGTACCGCCTTGCAAAGTAGTACAACAATGTCAAATCAGTTGCTATATTAATTTTTATATAATTAGAATTATACTGTTTGTTGTGCTAAACTTTAATCATGATTTCATTGCCATAATCAACTTTTTTAAAGCGCTACTCATTGTTATATATGGCTTTCTTTTTCATTTCACTGTTGAAATTAAATGTTTTAAAATAATTTGAAAAAAGTTACTGTAACATTAAAACCACAGATAAAAGGTGAAAAAATAAAAACAGTACTTAAAATCACTTCAGAAGAAAGCAAACATTTCTAAGCGGAATATGACACTTTAAGCAAGCAACAGATGAACATGATTAATGTTCTGGCAACGAAGAATTTTTTTAAAATGATAAAACAGCATCTATCTTTAAAAATAAGGGAAAAGCTACGGTGTTTTTCACTTGCTGTTCCAAATGATATATAAAGAATATGTGCAGAACACACTTGAAAGATTTATTGAAGTTAATGACTTGCACAAGAGCATGGTATCATCTTGCACAAATATAAAAGTGGGTATATAAAAGTATATCTATGCACCCCATTGCACTTGGTGGCAAGAGTTCTTGGACTGCCTATTAACCCTGTGCTTCGTCAGAAACAGGAAAACAAATTCTGCTGGACTAATTATTAATTATATTAGGTAATGATTTTAATAATAATAGTTCAAAAAGTAATATTAGAAATACCAGAAGGAATAAGGATATCTAATTATAATATGTTTCATATTTAAGAAGCATGTAATGAACGATTCTGCCTCTTTAAAAAGTCAATCAGTTAATTAATATGATTATTTTTTGCTTCTAAAGATTCTCAAAAAGTAAACTCAGTGAGATTTAACGACATATGGAACACAGCCCAGGTTATACTTAATATTGCAGGCAGGAAGAGATTACATCCAGCCTCAACTATTAATAAAACAGAAGAAACATTCCACAAGCTATATTTCCCTATGCAAACCAAAGAATATTACGTATTACATTTAAATGCCATGAGGGTTAAATCACAGTCTTTATAACTTTACAATGCAATAATATGAAACTGTCAAGAGTTTCTTCTTTCTATATAAATTCATTTGTTGTATTTTTTTTAAAGTTCCCATTTCTAATTTAAATGCACAATTTATTTAATAAAATACCTTTTAAGTAATTTGCTTCCTGTCTTCCTGCTTAGCTGGGAAGGATACACCTTTTCTACTACAGGAACAAGTTGGTTTTTATTTTGAACATACCTAGAAGTAACTGAGCAACAGACAAAAAAATTATCACACTTTTCTTAAAATCGTCAGGGCTAATGTTTGAAGGACATTAATTCCATACTGCAAAAAGCCAGCCCTTTTCAGAAAAAAAAATGTTCCATGAAGAATTTCACAGCTGAATTGGGAAAAAGAATCATATTTCTGCTCAGACTGTAGAGCAACATTTCTAAAAGGAACTATAGATGATTCCAAGCAGATGTACAGTGTTCTCATCTTAAAGGAATTTCTCTGTGTATGTATATGTAGAATATTGGCAACAGATTGCACAGTATATTTTAACCTTTTAGGTTATTTGCAAGGAAAGAGGGAGAAAACCTATGTTATCTAGCTCACATTTGATAGGTTATATGTTAGACTTCTGTTTGTTTGACTTAAGGAGAAATAAGAATTTTCATCTATCAAAGAAGATAGTAGAATGCAATAAAAATTGTACTGAGTCAAACTAGTGAGTCCCACTTGGTCGATAGGTTCTTCTGCTTTTGACTTCTCCCTGGACTTTGAAGCCTTATGGACATTTTAGCTTTTAAAAAAAATGATCTTCTGTACTTAGTTTTATTGGAAGATTGTAGGACAAGATGGAGTATCTTGTTTTATAGAGTGTCTGTGGTACTTGTGGTTGGAGCCAGAGTCTTTTCAGAAATGCTTGTTATGTCAACAAATAATAATCTAGCCCCAAGTCTAAGAAGCACAAGGCAAAATATCTATACAGCTGGTCCCCAGACTACTTTTGAGTTGCTTCATCAATGCAGTAGAGATTCTTATCACTAGGCGTGTTTCATCAAGCATCTGAGAAGCCTCTTCTAAGTTCTGGTTCAGGAAGTGTGATAACAGCTAAGTATGCATTATAAACATTAGCAACAATAACAGCAGAGCGTATTTGTACTTTGCATTCTATTTATTAACTGCCAGAATTTGGATATACTGCTTGATTCAGGTAAAACAATCCATTCATTATTGTCTAGGCTGAATAACAGCCCATCCTCATCTATATCAGGACCATACAGGAGAAGCTGTCAATATCTGGCTAAAATTGAACCCAAGCAAGATGCAGTTTTCTGATGTCTCCATGTTGTCTCTGAGAAAGCAGGTCAATGATTTGGGGCTCCCTCTGGCTAAGAAGGTGAAGTCATGGCCAGGGAGCCTTTTCGTAACTTTGTCTGGTATATCAATTATACCTTACCTGGAATGTAAGGATGTTGTAACAGTAACTAATGTTCTGGTGGTGAAATCCAAATTATTTTACTACCGGTTCTGTGGGCGTGGCTTGATGGGCATGGTGTTGCTTGGTGGGCATGGCAGGGGAAGTATACTGCAAAATCCCCATTCCCTCCCCACTCCTGGGTTAAGGATATTGCAAAATCTCCATTCCCACCCCTCTCTGGGGCCAGCCAGAGGTGATATTTGCCAGTTCTCCAAACTGCTCAAAATTTCCGCTACCGGTTCTCCAGAACCTGTCAGAATCTGCTGGATTTCACCCCTGTAATGTTCCCATTAGTTACTGTGTGGCTTACTGCAGTGTACTCTATATGGCTTCCTTTCAAAATCATGTGGAAGTTTCAGTTGTCCATAATGTAGTATCTCAAGTGTTGCCTGGTATATGCCAGTGAGAACACATAATACCCATCCTCTGGGCTTTATACTACTTATTTGCTTTCAAGTACATTCAAAGCATTGGTTTTACTCTTTAAAGTTCTACATGGTAAGGCACTGGCAGATATACTTACAGGATGTCTTTCTCCAACAGATCCCTACCTGCCTAACACTGTATATGTATAAGAATGAGCCGAGATGGTGCAGTGGTTAGAGTGCAGTACTGCAGCTACTTCAGCTGACTGCTAGTTCAGCAGATCAGCGGATCAAATCTCACCGGCTCAAGGTTGACTCAGCCTTCCATCCTTCCGAGGTGGCTAAAATGAAGACCCAGATTGTTGGGGGCAATATGCTATTTAGTATACTGTCTTTGGTGTAAGCCGCCCAGAATCCTCAGAGAGTGGACGGCATAGAAATATGAATAATAAAATAAATAATAAATAATAATATCTCAGGAGAACCTGCTAGTGGTTCTCTATGATGCTCCCAAACACTGCCTGTTTGGTGGGTGTGCCTCCACTCTTGGACACCTCCCTCCGGGA